CCTCATTACATTTGTAAATTTGTTTTTAATAAAGATTTAAAATTAGCTATGTTGTCAAGTTGTTGCCTGGTGGCGACGCAATTTGCGCCCAGCTTGTAAGCACCACGCTCTTTCTGACTGGTTTCACCAGTGCTTAACGTATCCGACCTGCATCATTTCAGGCTTTCCTCCCACATCAAGCTGACACGCCGTGATATGACTGGAATACTGTTCAAGCTGCATTAACCTCCGAAATAGGATCCCTGACTTCAGTGGAAAGTGTTTTTCTTGTTTGTTTGTTGTTTAACGCCACACTCAGCAACATTCCAGCTTTTTGGCGACGGCCTGTCAATAATCCAGTCTGAACCAGACAATCCAGTGGTTGACATCATGAGCATCAATCCACGGAATTGGAATATGATGACATGTATCAACCAAACAGTCAATATTAATGCCAAAATCCTTCCCTCCAAATTGGTATCAGCAGAACATTATACACGGAACAAGAATAAAAAATACAATAGGCTTTTATACGATGAACGACAACAAAAACACGAATTTTAAGTTACATGATGTGTGACAGTTAACGCTAATGGCGGACACACTCCATGTTGAATGTCTCCCCACGTGTTCGTGTCCAACTCGTGCCATTCGGGCACAAGCCAAATGGAGACTGGTGACCCTCAAATGAATGGAGTGGCATGAACACAGATGCTGCTTTAAACAAGAACGATAACTCCTATTCTACCAGCATCTTGTAATTTTGAGGGACCATTGTAAAATATTGTGTACAAAAAACATGTTTTTTTAAAGAGCACATTTATCAATCAACTCACCTGTTCTGATGTTGTGCTTGAAAATTAAGATTGTAAAATCAGATGCGGAAGAGTGGTGTGGCGACGTTGTTGTCTGATTATCTCATGCACAGAACAACTTCATTTCATTCGTTTTGCTTTACGCCAAGTATTACTCAACTTGAAACAAGCGTTTTCGAAGTGCTTCAGTTTGCATTTTCGAAATTGTTGATGTATGTGCGCACATGATTTGTGGTAAGCGATCCACCATGTAGCTGTGACCGTTTTCGGAGGAATCTAAGTTTACAAACAACCTGTAACAAATATTTTTAGTTCTCTTATTAATGTAATTAAGGTATGTGATACGGATCAGGCAACAGAGAGGGCATTCGTCACCGCTCGCCTCTTTCCGTAACCTGCAAGAAGACTCGTTCCCCTATCGATGAATGTTATGTGCGAAACTACGACAAACCAACCAGAATGCGTATATGACTTCAAGTACTTCGGTCGAAGAATCCCTCAGAAATAATTTGATTTTACATATGTATTGCAAAAATATGACAAAGATACAGCTAAATCTGTTCCATCATACTGTATAAGACTGTAAATGTGATGTTCAACGACATTTGGAATATATATGATATGTGGGGGACATCTTCGTGAATCATTACGAATTGAGTTGACAATTCGTTTGCCTTCGCCCGTTTGTGCTTAGATGGAGCCCTGTAAACATATCAGTCCATTTCCCCCACCGTCAACTACATATGTAAACATATCAGTCCATTTCCTCCACCGTCAACTACATATGTAAACATATCAGTCCATTTCCTCCACAGTCAAATACATCTGTGAACATATCAGTCCATTTCCTCCACCTACTACATCTGTAAACATATCAGTCAATTTCCTCCACCGACAACTACATCTGTGAACATATCAGTCCATTTCCCTCCACCGTCAACTACATCTGTGAACATATCAGTCTTTTTCCTCCACCGTCAACTACATCTGTGAACATATCAGTCTTTTTCCTCCACCGTCAACTACATCTGTGAACATATCAGTCTTTTTCCTCCACCGTCAACTACATCTGTGAACATATCAGTCCATTTCCCCCACCGTCAACTACATCTGTGAACATATCAGTCTTTTTCCTCCACCGTCAACTACATCTGTGAACATATCAGTCTTTTTCCTCCACCGTCAACTACATCTGTGAACATATCAGTCCATTTCCCTCCACCGTCAACTACATCTGTGAACATATCAGTCCATTTCCTCCATCGTCAACTCCATCTGTGAACATATCAGTCCATTTCCTCCACCTACTACATCTGTGAACATATCAGTCCATTTCCTCCACCGTCAACTACTTCTGTGAACATATCAGTCCATTTCCTCAACCGTCAACTACATCTGTGAACATATCAGTCCATTTCCTTCACAGTCAAATACATCTGTGAACATATCAGCCCATTTCCTCCACCGTCAACTCCATCTGTGAACATATCAGTCCATTTCCTTCACAGTCAAATACATCTGTGAACATATCAGTACATTTCCTCCACCGTCAACTACATCTGTGAACATATCAGTCCATTTCCTCCACCGTCAACTACATCTGTGAACATATCAGTCCATTTCCTCCACTGTAAACTACATCTGTGAACATATCAGTTCATTTCCTCCACCGTCAACTACATCTGTGAACATATCACTTTTTCACCGGCAGCAACATCTGTGAAAATATCTGTTCATGCCATCAAGTATATACTGCATCTGTAAGTATATCAGTCGTTTTCCACTACCAATGGATCATTGCAATTCAGTAATCACACCAGGTGTTCGAGGAAATTGCAAGCATGTCCTGCTTTATCGGTAGCGACCGCCACTCACACAACGCATATAACGTCTAAGCATGCGCTTGTTGCCTGACGCCGCTCAGCAGTTATTAAAGCATTAGTAACGCATGGAGCAGCTGATGGTAAATAGCTAAACGTGGTTAGTATTAATTACTCAATAGCTAAATTTGATACCTCTAAACTCTGCTAAAGATTTTCTCCTATTGTAGTAGCACCTAGTTGTCGGGTGGTAAACACAACAAACGGCTACAGGGTGTGAGCGGATGACTGTTAAATTCTCTCAGAAGTGAAAAGTGAACAAATACGGCCTGAAACAATGTATAAATAATAAGACATACGGCACAAAAAGACATAGAACATTGGCATTGTTATAATATACATAATGGCCTTAAATATAATTGACATTCAATTATATGAACTTAACATAGCGAGAAACCTATGTAATTCATGTAGTTTGTAACCTGCACAATGATATATATATTATATATGCTTATGACCCTATAATCAATTTTAACTAAACATAAACCCTGTCTACTGTCGTAATACTAGACAAGTACAATACTACATGATAATTACAATTGAGTGAGTGAGTTTTGTTTAACGCCGATATTCAAAAAAGTATTCCAGTTATATCACAGCGTGTCAGCTTAATGTGGGAGGAAAGCCCGGAGTGATGCAGGTCTCAGACGTTTACCACTTCGGTGAAACCCACGAGCACGGGTATGGTGCTGACAAACCTAGAAACATAATCGGGGCGAACCGGGATTCGAACCCACTATCATAGGTTTCTGGCTTGCCCAAGGGACGCAACTCTGCACAGCGAATTGCGGCGCCTTAGACGACTGGGCCACCCGTGCTCCCTTGATAACTACAAAGATATACGACGTCAGCATATATATATATCGAACTTGGGTATAGGGGCGAAAGACTAATCGAACCATCTAGTAGCTGGTTCCCTCCGAAGTTTCCCTCAGGATAGCTGGCGCTCGTCAAGCAGTTTTATCCGGTAAAGCGAATGATTAGAGGCCTTGGGGACGAAACGTCCTCAACCTATTCTCGACGATAATGATGAGCAAACGTGGATTGGAGTCAAGTCTTTGGTTAAATGTTAAGCCCATTGTAGAAGGTTTATCAACTACTCAGGAATTACTTTGCTGTGTTCGCGAACATGTGCTACTCTTCGTGGATAACACGTGCTACATTGTACCTAAAATGTTGTGAAATGCAGAAACCTAAAGCTGGAGCAGCTGGAATATATGCTCGACATAAAGGAAACGTTGACCCTTTTTTCAAGTACTTTTCGTGTGTATAATCAAGAGAATGTTCAATTGTAGCTCAAACATATGCAATCTGTGATAACCAAGCCATTGAAACACCTTTTCACTTATTGTCAACGATCCATTCACATAAGTTTCACCAATGTTGTACCTTTTAAACTCAATGGAATCTGTTTCAGCAGATGCACGAGACTGATTATTCTCTGCCTTGATGTTTTATATTTACAGAAATAAATATATACATAAATAAATGAATAGATACAGTTTAGTCTGTGTATTCTTACTCTGTTTATTGAACAAGTGAAATGTGTAATCTTGAGAATCTGGTCACTGACATCGTCTTCAGAATGACACTGGATATAAGTTGTGAAACAACATCACAATACTTATCTAAAGTGGGAACTCGTGTATATGGTGTTGGCTAACACATGGACAAACTGAACAAATGCTAACAAGTCAACCAAATAACGTTGTTTGTAAAAAAAAGGAAACATATTTTGTAATAAGTCACAAATCGGAATGATTTATTTCTGTAACCCTGACGTGCTGCGTGTGCGGAAGAATTATAGCCTGGCTTTGGGGTAAGTATTGTACATCTGTAGATGGAATATTGTTCACATGTAAGCTTAATTCAATGATCAGCATGAAAGCAGTTTGTTGTATCATGATTAATATCTCATTTCTGAAGTGTGTGACGTTGTATTCGTTTTTCTCCTCTAAAACACACCTGTCGTGTATTTACAAATACATTATTTAGTGCAATGTGAAATATTCAGTTGCAAACATAAAGGCGATACGTAAACAGACATGAGCATAACCAGCATAACTTGACTGATCTCCTTTAACTTACTCGCCATGGTCCATGGTTGGTTTCTGTAACTGTCCTTGTATCGAGCAAACGTTCAAACAATGTAATGAAACAGTGAAGTAAGTGATACAGATGTTTTGTTGTTGAATTGTTGTTAAACGCCGCACTCACCAATATTCCAGACATATGGTCAAGAAATAATCGAGTTTTGACCACACAATCCAGTGATTAACATCATGAGCATCGATCTACGCAATTGGGATATGCTGACATGCATCAACCAAGTCACCGATCCTGACCACCCGATCCCGTTAGCCGCCTTCTACCACAATGGAGAGTTGTCTGTTTGGACGATCCTGGTTTGCTGAAGACCTATTCTACGCCGGATCTTCATTGGTCTAAAAATGTTTTGAAATCTAATATGCTGCGTTCCTTGGTCTGTTACTGGAAGTGATACAATAATGAATTCCTTCTTCGTTACTTATTTCCATTGTCCGGACCTGAAAAATACAGACTACATGTAATTAAACACAGAATATGACAAATTATATGTCAACTCACAATAGCATGGGATGCTAAACGTGTTATATTAGGATAGGAAAGAAGGTATATGCCTCTGTTTAACGGTTCTGTACATGCACACAGTTGATCCATGGCAATGATATAAGAATTCAACCAGCAAGAGTGTTCCATGTTTTGGTTACCTTGAGAATGTGCTCCAGTGTTCTGGTATGGAGATGGTTTGATGGACTCATAGGTCACAGGGGGAGTCTCTGCCATGCCTTCATAGGTACTTGTATCTGCTGCAGCATCCGCTGAAGATGTAATTCATTACGTATTTAACCAGAAATCCACTTCAGAACTCTTCTTAATAGCACTTCAATATTACCTTTAGTGGAATACTGAAATTTAAATCAGTATTGAGCAAACCTTTATCTACCTTTTGTATTGTCATAAATCTTCAAATGTGAGTACTGTTGTTTTTCTCATTCCTCTAAATTTGAATACTGGTCAGGACCATTAATTTGATCTGAAACAAAACATTTTGGAAATATTGTAATGACTTCAGTGCTAAACAGTCCCATACATAATAGTAATTTCAGCAAAAGGGTAACAACCAATAACCAGTACATACCTAGTGATGAATACCCTCTGTTGTCCATTTCTACAGTTTCAGGATTCCTGGTGCTGCAAAATTAACAAGGTCCGTTTCAACAAGAAACATAATGGAATGGAGCGCTAAACTTCAGTTTATAATATACGTCTTTAGTTATCTTATCATGGCTCTATTACCTTATTTAGTATTTTCACATGTTCCGTACATTGTTATCTTTAACTTTGACATTCATAATACCTTTTTCGTAATGAAGTTTCTGGAAAACAAAAATAGCCACATGGTACATAATGTAAAACACACATCACACATGGCAAAACACTTTTCATTCATAAAGGAAACCTACAGTGGCAAGGATCAAGTCAACTGTAAATGACTGCATGTTCATATTATTAACAACATAAATTTGATGATACAAATGTGTCTTTTCTGTCAATATTAATGTCGAATACATGCAAATAAGGAAATCCTAGGCCTGACAATAAGGTTTTCAAACCCATTCATCAATATAATGGAAAATCATTATTAAATTATTCCTATTGACAATCGCTTTACAAAGGAAATTTAATTATTTACCTTTCAGAATATGTCCGAGCCTAGGCTTGTATACCTTTCTGTACAGTACCATCAGAACAATTCCCCCGATGAGCAAAGTAAGAAGAAGGGTCCCAACTGTGGATCCTGCTATCACCCCTGTACACGAACATGGAGTTTCAAGGTTTTGCTGATTTGGTGGATCTGCAATATGAGTAGAACATCATTACAGACGTACAGGGTGCAAATCATAGTCAGTGTAAAGGGTCGGGTGAAAGGGTATTCGTTACCAGTTTCCGACTTACAACTCATTGGCTCGAGCCCCGATACACATGTTCACGTTTAATGAAAAGATGTAAGGAACATTACTTGAAGTACTTCACAATGGGAAATTACTCTCAAATACAACATATGCATGTATGCAAATTCTTTTATCGTGATGAGTTGTTAATTACATTTACATCAGATTAAACCATTTTTCATTCGACTTGAGTGACACATACCTCCAGCAGTCCTAGTTTCTACTAATACATATCTGTTAGAATCCATATAGTCATTTCTAGCATGTAGTCGAAATATGTGAATATCTCCCCGTGTAAGCCCAGTCACTTCCACCACCATCATCTTGCCGGTGTCTGCATAGGTCTTGTAGACAGTCCAAGTTCTTGATTCAAACTTGAGATACTCAAGCAGAAACGTCTGAGGGTTTCCACCATTGAACCCAGGCAGCCAGGATAACCATACCGACGACGTTGTTGCATTATCCAGATCTCTAAACTGTGTAGGTATCTGTGGTGGCCCTTTAAACAAATTAATATGAAAAGGAATGTTGTAAAAGCTTTCTCAGAGAATGTTTCTAATGTTAATCTCATTATTTGTACAGTGAAGATGTAATGTTTAAACAACAGTCAAATATAGGTATTGAAACATATGAACAATTGTATCCTGAATTAGTGAATGATACATCAGAATGTCGCGGCTCACCTTCAGACACTACGCTGACTGTGTAAGTCACTAAACCGCCTTCACCGTTATTGGCTGTCAGACTGTAGTCCCCGAAGTCCTGCTGTTGGAGGTTAGTAAGATGTAGTCTGGCAGTGACCGAGATGTCTGAGACAGGGCTGGAGGAACCAGTGAGGTCTTGGCTAGTGCTTGTGGTTCTACTCCAGGTGAATGTAGGAAGGGGGTAGGCCAGGACTGACACAGACACGTTCACGTTACCGGCCAGTCTAGCGGCGTATTTGAGTTGCTGGGCAGCTGTCTCCTCAAGCCGAGGAGAACCTGGTTAAATGTAGACCACATATGCAATGACTCTGGAACAAATAATATCCGTTGGGGGCAGAATATTATGAAGATCAAATTTACCGAGTATGTAGAATTTTTTATAAGGAGCTTTTCGTTGATACTTAAAATTGGCTGTATCAAAATAAGAGACATGATAACTCAGATATACAAGCAAACCGTCAGTTTGCCTTTTACACAACACTGTTATCATCATAGACAAAGTTGCGACATTAACCATCAATGGAAATCATCACAACACTACCATCCTTATCGAATATCCAAACAGATTACATTTGACCAGCAACTCCACCCTCTGGCTGACAGGTGCCCCGATGTTGTTAGTGGCTGTACAGGAGTAGTTCCCTCTTTGTCTACAGTCTGCTGACTCCAGTCTATATTCTGCTGTCATGGAGTTATCTGCCCTTGTCAACTCCTCCGTTCCATTCAGCAACCTGATGACTGACCTCGGATTACTATCAACCTGGCATCTCAAGGTCACTGGATCTGATTCATTAACTGTCACTGAACCACCGAGAGAGTTGACAGTAAACATACTCACAGTGGCGGGATCTGAAAATATAACAACTTAAAAATCTATGGTTCGCTTTACAATTATAAGGATAATGCACAACCAAGTATTTTTTACTTTACACTTTGTTCAAGGATTCTGATGTGTAGACTATATACTTCCACTGAACATAAACACTGACTGTAACACTGTCACCAGTGTAGACTATATACTTACACTGAACATCAACACTGACTGTAACACTGACTGTAACACTGTCACCAGTGTAGACTATATACTTACACTGAACATCAACACTGACTGTAACACTGCCACTACTCCCGTGTGTATTAGAAGGCTGACATCTGTAGGAGCCTGTCTTAGATCTGTCAGCTTGTCCTAGACTCAGAGTGGCTCCACTGCTGAAGACTGTTCCATTGTGTAACCACCTGTAGCTACAGCCGGGTCTACAGAGGGCGGAACACGTGATTGATGGAAGAGTCTGGTGTTCTGTCACAGTGTAGGAGGAGGTGGAGGGAGTCAGGTAGATCTGGTAGGGCCCGTCTGGAATACATGGCACTGTGGCACTGATACCGTGATACAAGATAAAGTTATACCTCTAATAACACACATAAGGAAAACAATGATGAGTTGATGATATTCAGAAAAATACCTTCTAAGCTGTATGACAACACATTATGTATTTAATAGCAGCATGTACATAAACGAGCGATTGTTTAAACGTTCCACGGTTTGGTGTGGCCTTCGAAAAATAATTGTTCAGCATGATAAATACATACTCTGTTCATCATTTTTTCATGGTTATGACGTTTTGTGTCTGTTTAAGACGACAGGCTGTGAGACAAAAAGGAACAGTATGGGGAAACTTGACAGCGGTCTGCTTCTGTATATATTTACAAAAAATCTAATTATCCTATGAAACACACGTGGTGCTGGCAAATGGTCAATCTCCCGTGGAGCCTGTGATTCAACTGAAATTTCGGAAAGCATGAATTTGTGAAAACTAAAATAATTTGCTTTGATAGATTTTTGTTTTCTGCTGTAAACTCCACCAATCCTAGGGTGGTCGAGTAGCTTAGTAGTCAAAGGGTTCGCTCGTCACGACAAAGACCCGGGTTAGATTCCCGACATGGGTACAATGTGTGAAGCCCATTTCTTGTGTCCCCCGCCGTGATATTGCTCGAATATTGCTAAAAGCGGCGTAAAACCATACTCACTCACTCACTCCACCAATCCAAAGTTGATATATTAAGAATTCAATACCATCGACATAGAAAAAACCTAATGTTTGTTTTGTGTGTTTGATCACGAGGAAGGTGCAGGTAAGAAGTCCAACGCAATATGGCATATCAATCAAAAATTTAATATGTACAGACAGATTAGTATCCAGTCTTTCCCGATAGATGCTATTTTCCTTACGAGTGTGTTTCAAAATGAATCCATCGCGCAGCTTTGTAAATTCTACGTTAAAAGAAAACGTCCCTGGTTTAAGGGTGCCGTGTGAATATGTATACAACTTTCGTAACTGATGATTCGATAATGGTTTCTTCTCTAAAAGAGCAAACTGGAAATATATAGTGCGAAGCTTTCTCCGAGATCGATTGTAAGAACTGATGAGATCCCGATTCTGTTATAACGTTAATAATAGCATAAGCACTAATATCACCAAGCGAGAGACAACAGGAATATGTAGCCTCATTGTATCAAAGTCGGTAATGTGTATGCGAGAGGAGGGCCGATCGACACATCAGTCAATCACGTTTGTCATGTTGCCCATGCGATTGTACACGAGTCAGCAGGTAGTTTAGACGTTATGAGGTGAGGCGAAATGTAGTTTACGTCGTGTCCAGGACTATAACAGTTATAAAACGACGTGCATGCACGTGTGTCTGTGTGTGTCTGGCTGATTGTACTTGTCCGGACAAATGCCTAGTGTGTTGTGCTGGTCAACTGATTTGCAGTATACTGGCCCTGAGCCGACCAGTCCTTGTTTTAGACCAAAATGCCAAGCGCCTGTCAAGGTACTGTCTTTTAATGTATTTTTGTGTGACGCGACCGGGAATCGAACCCACAGTCATCCGATCTCCGGCGGAAGTTATGTCCACTGGACCACAGAAACTCTTTCTAGTAATGAAATTGATTGTAATTATTGTTTGGCATCACTAATAACGGTGCACTAAGACAGGGGATTGCATCGGTTGACATTTCTAGTTGCTGTCCATTTTGTCCATAGGGCCTACTCTTATTCACAAAATGAATTTGAAAGTAGTAAGTATGATGAATGTTGTGTTGATGGTTCGATATAATGTTTTGTTTATTGGTGATGCTCTGAAGCGTTATGCAACGACAATACTTGTAATACTGCAATAAAAAAATTATATGCAATAGATCACAGGCGACTGAAAAATCCAGCCGACAAATTCAAATATATATGTAAACAATGCAGCGAATATTGAGATGAATGCACTGTTTGCCTTGTTTCGTGAATGTTAATAGTTTCTTTCTCGAGTAGGTTATCGTCTGAAAGTAGAGTAAACATTGTGTACGCAATCCCAAGGATCAGCTGATGACTACAAATAGTCCGGACATGGTGTTTTAATATCATGAGCAATACCACTATTTGTTTGTTTAAACAGTAATATCTCCGAAGGGTATATAATTAATATATATTACTTAACATTGAACAAAATGTTACTTTATAAACATCTTCATAATAGCCTAACCTAAGGTACGACACATCAGGGGAAACATCTAGCCTGTGTAGGTAAGTTATGTCTTGTTGACTATGACATTTCCTAAAAGTGAGTCTGTATACCCTTTCGATGTATATATCATATATATTCATATGTCTATTTATTTTGGAGCCCTTCGATATAAACAAAGCTAGTGTAATAACTCATCGCATTCAACTACTTATTTCAATAATTCAGCGAGTGATGAGAGTAAAGTGTATAGTGTGGATGACTGTTTGGATTAGTAGAAGATCAGAGTAAGAGTAGGAAAAGTGTACAGTTTCACAGTGTTAGCAACGCCTCCATTTGAATAAACCACTGATGACAAGGAATAGATCCATCATTTTGTTAACAGTGGGTGAGTAACAGATTAATTTAGTAGACCCCTTAACTACCAATGGCATGTGAACAGCCAGACAATATATCAATAGCTAATGTCACTGACCCTCCCTTCCGGTTTCTTCGAAGAATGTACTTCTAAATGCAGTTATTTGTATTTTATTATTGTATATTTTGTAACTGTTCATATTGACAATTGATGATTGAACCTCACATAAATCAGTAGCGTGAGACATTTATAAGTAACGTGTTTACTGTACTCACACTGTGGCTCCATGTTGTACCCCTGGCTCCACTCTGACTCCAGACCCTGACTTTCTCTGGCCCTGCATCTGTAGCTGTGACTGTCCCGGGAACTCACTGTGAAGATGTAGGGGGGACCAGGAGAGGTAACTGTGATGTCAGTGTTGTCACGCTGCCAGGTGTAGGTCAAGGTCAGACCATGGTCAGCTGGGACAGTGGTAGAGGTGGAGCTGCAGGTCAAGGTCACTGTCTGGTTGTAGACAGGAGTTGTTGACACTGGACGACCAGGAGTGGTGGGCTTGCCTTTCAAAAGACTTCATGTGTAAATTAGGAGCTTGATAGAAAAGACAATAGTGGCGTGAGTTAGCATGTTAGCAATCTTAACACCAGCTATGAATGGATAACAATCTTCATATTAACACATTGTAATGAATCGTAATAAAGTCTTATAATCCACTCTTAAAGATAAGCATTCGTGAGAAGATTGCGTCTTCTACACATTTAACCATCTCATGAATCTAACAGAACTAGTGTGACGTCAACGACGATGGCTACATGCTCAACATTGATGTTGACAAACGTTATGACAAACTCATATGGTCATATACTTTCAAGAACAAAATAACGAGTCTTTAAAACGAATTATCATTGATTGACAAGATTACAATTCCTCGACTTCATCGGACACGATGTTGGGTTGGATCAAATCAACAGATAAGAAACAATAACGGTCTTTAATGTGCTAAAACCTTTTCTGTTGTGTGTTCAAATGTTGTGTCACGAGGGTTGAAATAGCGATCCCCATCAAGTATTGAGACATGTTTACACGACATAAACCCCCAAAAGTTTAGATAATGTCTTTGAAGTATAATATAATATTCTTGCTCATCTGGACACATGTAACATTAAGTTTTATACAGTTTTAATACAACAGTCTATCCTAACAGTACAAATAAATCAGTTTTAACTTCTTTTATTCATTTTGTGCATATGTACGTGCAACAAACATCACTAAACCTGTATTTGAAGAAGTTTAACATCATTAGGACAGATTAGATTTTCCCTATTAGTATGTTAAGTATTTATTTATGTATTAATTTAAAGGCAGTGTTTCAGTTCTGTCTTATCAATACATTGTGCCCTTGCTTGCAGGCATGAACAGAATTATACTGGACATGCGTTACAGATTTGGTTCGAGCAAGTGAAGCTGGCGAATGTCATTATTTGTAATGAATGTCTAGTTGCGCATGCGTAATCGACTCTGCTTAATGCAGAGATTGCTATTGGATATGGAAAGGGTTTTGTCACTCTATTTACATGACTCAAAATACAGGATCAACAAAATACTGTGTAATCAGATGCAAAATACAGCCTGAAAGTGACAATGGATCCACAAATAAGAGAACACAAATACAATAAAAATATGATTCACGGAAATGTCAAGCAGTTCATTTGTAATATGTGTAAACCTTATCAGAATATTCGTACAGCGCACACTTGTATTTTCTGCGATTTGGTTGCTGCAGCCAGTAGATTCGTAAAGCCCGTGTTTAGAATTAATGCATAAGCTCAACATTTGCCTTGCAGAAAGTAGGTCAGTGAACTGTCAATTGGTTACAGATAATCAACAGTTGGAACAATGGAGTGACATCATAGATGTTTTTTTTTATTTTGGCTCCAAACCACCGTAGCGACTATAACTAGACACTAGATAACTTTCCCGAAATAAAACCAATACCAAGTACAAACATACGGAGGCACATTACGACCATGAACTCCCACGAATGTAAGCAATTATCAAAAGCGAATCCACAATAAGCAGGGCCTACAATTTCGGTTTAAAATGTTTTGGATCTTAAGGAAAAAAAGTTCTGCAGAAATTTACTTTTTATGCGTATAGCTTTTTTGCTTATAGCTATGCCTAGGAAGTGGAGAACGACCCCACTACTGAATGTATTCAAACCTCAGACACCGATTATACCCCTTCTATAACATTCGACCAGATACCACCCGTTCATAGAAATATTGATTTTGTAATGGATATATTACTGGCGGTTGATATAACTACGATTATTGAATCCCTCCATAACTGATATTGTGAATATATTTAAACAAATGTGACGTGAATTGATTTATAATTTTACACTGACCAAGTTAACATAAACAAATGACAACTGCACGATTCACTATAATTTATCAAAAGTTGATATTGTCAGTGTACATGATGCCTCTAACAATATAGATACGAGGGTGTGATGAGGTGATGTTGCAAAAGGACACACGTGTATTTGTTTAGTTCCATAAGGATACACATTCATACACATCAATGAGTTGCTATGTTTGCTTGCTCTGAATACACGCGGGTTTTCAAAATCAATCAGTAAAATAGATTCGATATTACCACTCATGATATCACAACATACATTTTCCTAAAGAACGAGGCCATGCACTAAATGCATACATTTGTAGGGTAACCAAGTGACTGCTGGCGTTCGGCGCAGTATGCTTGAATACTGTTTGTTGACATGCCTATCCGTTTGCTGTTTACCCCTGTCATCAATATATCAACAGTCTGTAATTATTTGAGTCAGGATGCACTTCTCTGTCAGAATTGGGTCATCCAGGCGAGTTAGATTTTGACAGCAGCACACGCGTCTTGTGGATTTTTCAAGAGTGGTAACAGTTCAGAAAATGTCCTCCCATATTTATAGTGTTCACTCACTCACGACAATCACTTTGTTGCCGTCAATGGGTGAGCGGTTGTTCGAGATAAAGAGGGTGTCTTTTGTTTGCGTTTATATTTTGCTGTTACAACTGATCCGTTTCTAAATATCATTATTTTTGTAAATATCCTCCTGACAGTAATACCACATGTGTTTTACCAGTGTTACCTTGCATGCAGGTGACATTCATCTTCATTACAATCGTTTGTTACCTGCGACATCTAATATTATTTTAGTGAGTGTGGTTTCAATCAGTCTTTTAGCAAATATCACACTTGGGGATACCAGAAATTGGCTTCACACATTGCACCCATGTGGGACTTCAAGCGGGGGTTTTAACCACAAGGCTACCACACCGTGCCTAATATTATTAGAGACAAGGAATACATGTATTGTCACAGAACAACTGTTTAATTTTAAAAACAATTTTTTTTTAAATTTTATAATCAGGACACGTTCCGAGGAAAGTCAAGTGATGAAAGGTTGCTTTTGTTTTGAAACTGCCCACGTGGTTGTATTTTTATTTAAAGGAGAACTTATGTTCAATAAAACACATTTTTGTGCAACCTAGTGTGTATCATAAGTAGGTATTCATTTGCTGATATGAATTGAACAGTGAAGAACAAAGCACCAATGGAGGATATACTGTTACCCCGTTGTGACAGCATTCCTTATAACTGAGAGTTCTTTACCTAATTCATAAACCCGGACGATTATGTTTACGATACATTCTTATTTAAGACACAAGTTTATGTTTTTATCTGAATATGTATATGGAATATAAAGAGGACTAAACTATGTGTACGAAACGTCAACAAATCAAAACTTAGTAGCCACTCACCCAAAACAACAAGTTTCTGTCCACAGTTCTGTATCACAATAGTAGCCCCTCCGTTCCCACACGTGTATGTCCCTGCATCTGATGTCTGGATGTTGCTGAGGGTGAAGGTGACATTCCTGGCTGCTATGTTCCCCTGGTACTCCAGTCTGCCTCTGTAGTTGGGCAAGATAACAACTGTCAGAGAACTTGTCACTACGAACACGGCCGCATCACCAGCAGGACTGACAGCGTAGAAACCAGTACCTGACCCCAGACCGCCCTGTGGAATCTCCCAGCTGAACCTGGCCGTGTCAGACACTGGAGACGACACTGGACTGGCACTGGGTGCACCTGACACAACACCTGCAGGAAGAAGTCATGTGGATATGTAGCATGTAGCATGAGGTTTGAATGTACTTTACGCCAAGTCGTCATGTTCTGATTGACCTGTTATTATGATTAAACAAGAAGATATTCTATTTATATCAAGTATGCCGGGTAATATTACTATTTAAATAAGTAAAATATACAGTCATAACACATGTGTCTGACACGAAATTATTACCTGCAATCACATAAAATATAGTTGCAGCAGCTATTTTCATTATGCGTGTTGTCTGGTACCTTGGTGAGACCTGAAACGATATATCAGTCATTTGGATGCTGATTGATACATTTGGTATCAATGAGATATTCATATGAGAGAAGGATCATATTACTGTCTTATCAGCTGTCTGGTATCAACTATGCTGTGATGATAGTGTGTGTGTGATAATAGTCCTCGATGTGTTAGACGGTGTGACAGTACGTACGTATTGCACAGTGAACGCTGATGGACGAGTCAGATGAATATATGCGTATAAACTTCAGGACCTTCAACATGATAGAATAATTTGTGATCATATTGTTAACTGTACTAACACAAACATTTATTAAAAGTGTGATATACGCTCACATGACACATGTTTCATATCACATACATATATGAACATAACATGGGAATCTTGACTTGGAGCCCACAATCATTGGATCCTGGCATGCCTAAGAAAGTCCGTCCCATGACTGAAGGAAAGACGATCATGCTGATAATATGAACATACATACTGGTACAAGGCATCAGTAAGGGGATAGTTTTGAATATCATTAAAACTCTCTGCCTTTCCGACGTCAAAGGAAACAAAAGGAATTCTGTCGCCTTAAAGAATTAAAGTAACTATTTGCAAAATTTCCATTGAGGCCAGATTTGTAATATACATGATATGAACAACTGGAAACTGTAAGTCTGATGTGACTGTTCATCTATATGTCCTGCGTTCCCATCGCACTCGCGCATATTTCCATACTGGTGTGAATAGAGTAGACGTTTAGTATTACGGACAAAGGGACACCACTCTGCATTGCCTTTAGACGACCCAGACAATCCCATTCAAATCAGCTGTGTTCAGGTTCTAGGTTGTACCTGTAAAGCTTTGTGTTTTAATTAACCCTACACGTACAGATAGCTGACACACAGGTAACATTTATACACAAACAGAGGCCAGGTCAAAGTACACGAGTATAAAGAGATATTGTAGGTTACTCCAAAATACGTTATGTAATGTATGTTCGACAAGGTGATACAAATATACATTAACATACAAGGTGTCATGTGATGAGGTTAGAAATGTATACTTTACACATTCTTGATGAGGCCTCAGTTTGTTAGACAAAAATCGTTGTTACAGTCGTCATGTGTGACCGGGTAGCTCAACACGGAAGTAATATACAAGGTCGTGTTTACATTCTTATCAGTCGCTTTAAACTAGTTCAGGAGTGGCTAAATATAGCGGAGTCAGTCTCTGTCATATGATTGCAGGTTTATTTAGAGTTTTAGAGTGAGTGAGTAACAGTTTGTTTAACGCCGTGTTAGACACAGTATCTATATTACATCATGGCATGTCAACTTTGATGTTTATTTCTTCGGTGAATCCCACGTGCTGACAAACCAAGAAACATAAACTTGGATATCGATTCGGACCCACGATCGTTGTGTTCTGTCACGCCTATGTACGCCTCTATATACAGTGAGTGGTCACTTGCACCCGCATCTGTCGAGATATTCAGTGGCGATGTATGGTATATGTGTATGACATGACGTCGTTTAGTAATACAAACACAGTTCCGATTGAGTACAGCTCAGTTATTGCGTCAATATAGACGTTCAGTACACTTCTATTTAATCGAAGAAAAAATAGAAAAGTTTATGAAAATAGAAATAACCTTTAATGATCAGTAACGCAAACGGTTCGAGACTCGTAACATGCTCTGTCAAAGCAACATACAACATGGGAATCATATATATTTTACCAATAACTAATGAAATATGTTATTGTCTTTTTTCTTGTGTTGTTAAATATCTTGGGTCTTAACTCAATCGATAGGTACCGACATGTGTTCAAGCATATGATGACGTTTTATTCGCATAAATGTGTTCAATGGCAGCAACGAACAATACTGTTGATTTTTTAAACACCCTTCGACAGTGATTAGTTGTGCCATGTTGCAGCAGAATGAACCATTTAACCACTGTTTATTATTAACAGGAAAGTTTTACTGATGCAGTGTTAAGTCTGTCATCCATGTTAAACAGATCTGTATAATGATGGTTCTCTCTTGTTCTATTTGGGATATCCCTTTCTGATCCCACCAGTGCATTATTGCTATTTCAAGTATTATCATTATCTCTGTTCTCCTTCATTGTATACGGATGAAACATTGCCGGGGCGACAATGAAATGTAATTCACTCACTCACTCCTACCCTTGCATGAAATCACAGTTCTGGCCTATTCATTTACAAGCAATTGAGGGCGATGGGATAGCCTTGTGGTTAAAGCGTTTGCTCGTCACGCGGAAGACCCGGTTCGAATCCCCGCATGGGTACAATGAGTGACGCCCATTTCCCTGTGTCCCCCGCCGCGATATTGCTGAAATATTCATAAAAGCGTAAAACCATGCTCACTAACTACAAGCGATTGTAGGTAACCACAAAACCACAGTAAGGCACATCCACGTGTTATTCATGTAATATTGGTAGCATATAACAAAACATTATTTACACATGAAAATGAGTTGAACTCATCACGAACCATGGAACAGAGCAAAGCGTGCGTGACGGTTCATCGTTACTAGGTGTTTAACTTCTTTCAGGTGTGAACATGAACATGGAAGGACTATGCCTGCATATACATTTTACCATTGGATTCATGGGCTAATAGGTGCAATGATTACCATCAATCATACTTTTACTAGCTCGCACCAAATTACTTTGGCATTGTGGCAAATGTCAATTTATGATATATTTCAATTTCAGACAGTATTTTAATTTCACACGTAACGTTCTATTACATTATTATTAATTAAATAAATAAATGCAGCAAAGAGGGTTCACAGTCAGGCTGGTGAGGCTCATCATCAGCTCAGGACCCTTGCCCCCTCTACATGCAGCCCAGACAGCTCGGAAAAGCTGCCCATTCGAACCAACCCAGAACAGTTCGGAGAATGTGAAGACTCCACAACACTGCAGCCTTCTGCATTACCAACATGGTCAGAAGGGCTGTATTCCTGGCAGCAACCCCGGGTAGTCTCCTAATGCCCGTCAACAGATAGGGAGGTACCAAACCTAAGGCCCCGAGAACAGTGAGGAGTCGGACAACTTGGGATGCAAGTGTGACATTTCGAAAGCGAGGTCCGCATATTTGTCATGTTTTTTCTTGAGTCTTGTCCTTCACATTAGTGTCAAAAGGGACAGAAAATGCATCGACATATATATGATTCCATTGGGATTATCTAAAGGGACAAGATCAGGTTATTTGGCCTGGATAGGTCTGAGGCTGTGTAGGGGCCTATTCCAAAGAATTTAATATTTATCATTTTCCATGACGCCCTCTACATATTCTTGGTTGTATACAAGCATGGCGAATACGGTAATAAAAGGATCGAGCCACGCCACCAAGTCGCTTAAGAAACTGTTCCAATATGCCAATCATATGTGCAGCCACTCACCTGAACACATGTGAAACACCGCCAACAGCAAGGAACTCATTGACATGTAGTCTGACATGCTAATCGTATGTGCAGCCCCTCACCTATACACATGTGAAACACCGCCAACAGCAAGGAACTCCCTGACATGTAGTCCGGCATGCTAATCGTATGTGCAGCCACTCACCTGAACACACGTGTAGCTCCGCCAACAGCAAGGAACTCATTGACATGTAGTCTGACATGCTAATCGTATGTGCAGCCACTCTCCTGAACACATGTGTAGCACCGCCAACAGCAAAGAACTCATTGACATGTAGTCTGACATGCTAATCGTATGTGCAGCCACTCTCCTGAACACACGTGTAGCTCCGCCAACAGCAAGGAATTCATTGACATGTAGTCTGACATGCTAATCGTATGTGCAGCCACTCTCCTGAACACATGTGTAGCACCGCCAACAGCAAAGAACTCATTGCCATGTAGTCTGACATGCTAATCGTATGTGCAGCTGCTCACCTGAACACACGTGTAGCACCGCCAACAGCAAAGAACTCATTGCCATGTAGTCTGACATGCTAATCGTATGTGCAGCTGCTCACCTGAACACACATGTAGCACCGCTAACAGCAAAGAACTCCCTGACATGTAGTCTGACATGCTAATCGTATGTGCAGCCACTCACCTGAACACACGTGTAGCACCGCCAACAGCATTGACTTGTAGTCTGAGAGTAATAAGATGATTCAGTTATAATTCAGGGTTGATAATTAAAAGCAACAAAAGTAATGTATAAATGTTATAAGTAATTATAGTAAAGTGACAAAGTAATTCTTAGAATGTAGATGCTGCTGTTCGTAACTAAATTGTATGAAACTATCTGTTGTAGGAGAGGCAAAAAATTCTGAGAAACTTGCGTTTGTATGTAATATATTCCTTTACTTTCCAGACGCAATATAATGTTAATAGAAACTATAACATGGCTGTGTGAGTCGTCCTCATACGTTTGTGTGACAGCAGAAGGAGACACACAAGAGTTTTATTATCCAACTTCAAAACAACCTTCGAGAAAATATGGTTTCTGTATTGAAACCTGTGTGTCCAATTTATGTGTCGATATATACATTGTGTTAACAGTCATGCATGGTATCATGTTGACAATAACGTCTGCACTGTCAACACCATTGTCCCGTTTACGTTATCAATGATGTATTGAGCGTGAAATCACGTGTTTGGATTGCTATGAACGTGCTAATTTTCAACCTTTTAGAAAAAAATGACTGTTTCTAGCAAACCATAGTTTGTTTATGTTTACATGTCTCATACCAGATTGATGCAAGTGGTGTTTTACTGCATTCTCAGCAATAGGACTTCTCTGGGACATTATTATTATTGTCTGACTGTTCAAAGCGGCGTTAAAATCCCTATTTATACGTTGTCGATATATTCCTCATGGTACAGCTATTAGAGAATTTGTATTGGCAACTCACATTGAAAGCTTCCCGTTAGCTTCCTCACAACTTGGTACCTATTATTTAAATATCCTTTGTATCTATGAGTTGGGTATATACAGCAGATAGTGTACAATGTACATAAACCTACCGGTGACCCGCCTAAAAGTGATATAAGATATACAGTGTATATCCTGCCTGCAGCTTCCAGCAGTATATCAACAGACAACAGTATATCAACAGACAACAGTATATCAACAGACAAGCTATGTATCTATGAGTTGGGTATATACAGCAGACACTGTACAATATACATAAACCTATCGGTGACCCAGCAGTATATCAACAGACACCAATATATCAACAGACAGCAGTATATCAACAGACAGCAGTATATTAACAGACAGCAGTATATCAACAGACATCAGTATATCAACAGACAACAGTATATCAACAGACAACAGTATACCAACGGACAGCAGTATATCAACAGACAGCAGTATATCAACAGACAAGCTGAGTAGTATATGCGTCTGCAGATTGTGACCCAGTGTTGTAACAAAAGCACGTACCTGACATGCTATTTGGGGACTGTGCGCTGTAGTGTAGAATTTCACAGGAAGCCCTTGTTATATTACTTCCTGTTAGCAGTCATAACGCGATCAACCACAACAACCGTCGGTAGATAGAATGACATAAATTTGTTATTGTTACTGTGAGGATGTAATCGGACGCTGTGTAGTGTGTATGTGTATGTGTGTGTGTGTGTGTGTGTGTGTGTGTGTGTGTGTGTGTGTGTGAGTGTGAGTGTGTGTGTGTGTGTGTGTGTGTGTGTGTGTGTGTGTGTGAGTGTGTGTGTGTGTTTGTGTGTGTATGTGCCAAGTCACGTTCAGCATACAGATATCTATTTCTGATCTTTTCTTTCTGCTAATTAATTATTAATTGTAAATAATCATACATGTAACTATGGGGGAGGGCGTTCTAAGTTGTGATATCATGTGCGCAATTGTTTCCATATTACTAAAATATTTTTTACCTAAACCTACCACTTCACGAAATGTCCTGTCCCCAGATTTGCCTCACATAGTGTCAATCAGCATAAGAGTTTTCTTCAGGTTTCACAAGCTGACACTATTATTAAAATACAGCCCCTAACCCTGTAATAACTTAATTTCTGAACTCTGTTCTTGGAACCAAACACATTTTAACGTTTTACACGCTCGAGCATTACATTTTTTTGCACGTGTCCCTGACGGTGCTCCGTAGTCAACAGCTCGCCTCAACGCTCCAGTTCTGTTCAATGCATGCATATGTTCAGTGATGTTACTTAGTAGCCCATTTACCATGAAGACTGACCGGGTGTGGCTGTGCAGAATAAAACTGTTTTCTCGTGGCTTTCCCACAGTTTATTCATGAAAGTCGTCAGACACATGTCGTCAGACGCTAGGCAGCACAAGTACTGTTCTCCTTACGAAATAGACAGCTACCGTTCATCGTGCTTGTGAATGTTGCGTGTAACATTGACTGCAGCTGTTCAAGTAGTAGATTAATGCAACACCTGGTGTCTAATACCAGCAAGTCTAATCAAATTTATCACTGTGAAAGTGAATGACATGACATTCTATTCAGTGCTTGATAAACACTAGTTTATCATACTGTAGTTCAATGAGAGAAACTACATATAATGTATGGACTACAAATATACACATTTTCGTTTATTGTTCGTATGAAGTCTGTATGAAGTAGTTTACAATCAAAGTAAGTGGATTTGAAAGAGAGCAGCACATACGTCATAGAGTGAGACCTGGGAATGTTTCCCTGCCTGGGTACAATGTGCGAGTCACTGATTTGTATCACGTCCCCCGCCAGTATATACCTACTCACTGATATCAGTCTTCTAAAGTTTGTCAGTGAGATCATCAATAAGAACGGCTTAATAATGTGTCAGCTGCATGCTAATGCAGACCTACAGAAGATAGGCACAACAGCTAATGTCTACCTTGTGCTTCACTGCTTGCTGCAGTGTATGAAACAGTGAACACTTATCATCCTGTTTGGAGTTCACTCAATGCCAACCACCAGTAGAGAGAATGACAGACTGTAAATGTTTTCATGAAGAGATATGGCTGTATGGGAGGGAGTGATTTAATGCCATATTCTCTGACATATATATCTGGAAATGTTATCGTGTGTCGGTTTTTGAACATCTGTTAACATTAGAGCAAACATTATAGCCCCATTGACCAGAAGAATAAGGAACATTACTCTGACACTATGGGATATAAAAGAAATACTGTTCAAAGCAGTGTTTCATCAAACTCGCTCATTCTACAGAAAGTTCTTTAACCAATGTTTATGTTGTCAGGGCCTTTCAAAAACAAGAAAATGTTACAAGGAACGAGTTGACTAATTAGGGAAAATGTCTTACCTTTAACGAATATTTCGGAAATATACCAGGCCAGTACATCATAAAAGTAGTTGGAAGTTGGTTGGTTCGTTTGTTGTTTTACGCCGCACTCAGCAATATTCCAGCTATACGACGGCGGTCTGTAAATAATCGAGTCTAGACCAGACAATCCAGGGTTTGATATCATGAGCATCGATCCACACAATCGGGATCGATGACATGCTTCAACCAAGTCAGCGAGTCTGACCACCCGATCCGTTAATCGCCTTTTACGAGAAACATAGTCGCCTTTTACGGCAAATATGAGTTGTTGAAGACCTATTCTACCCCGGATCTTCACGGGTCTTTTGGTGAATTAGTCTATGTTAAAGTCTCAGCCTAACTGTCTCGAAAGCAAATTTAACACTGTCTGATATTTGATTGTGTCTTATTTCTAAATGATGTTTAAAATAAACATGGACTGTATGTACTTGATATAGCCCAACACCAGTTGCCAATAGTAATAGTAATAGATACTTAGTTCCGTCATTAGGATCCGCTGGTAACAGAATTGTCCCTTAAAGTGCATGTGGGTTTCACCAAACTAGGAAGCTGAACTGTCACATTTCACTAAACAGACATACACACATATGATATTATTGCAATAGTGATCAAAGTTATTATTGCACCACCTGTCATATGTATCATGTCAGTGCATTGTGTAGACTCTAAGTGTGAGGTGTACACAGATAGGGTGGGAACAGGGAAATATGAGGTGCATACAGATTTACAAAGCATTACACTACTAGAGTATAGAGTATATTGAGTGCACGTCAATAACAGTAGTACAGCGGGTACGTCTCTGCCATATATAATGTTGCTTATCTCCTCTTGTAGGTTGTGAATGTAAAAAGAATTATCTGCAACTTCGTGATGCAGACACCGAGTATTTTAAATTATGCTTGGCAGGTTGATCGATTTTTCTCGACATAAGTGCATGTGTTTACACCTGTTTCACATATAGAGGCTTACAGCAAGTCATACACTTCTGTGGCGGTAGATATCAATTAGTACACACTTCCTGGTTGACAAGTTTTTACGCGTTCTATTATTCGGTCTTTCTTCGATTGCTCACGTAGCCAAACATGTTTTTGAAGAAAGATGAATGTAACTATATATATGCGATAGTAGTGAATGAGTGACTGTACACAGCGAGGTCTCGTGTCACACGTCGCCAACAATCCCTCAGTTAGGTATGTTCTCCCTGACCCACTGCATGCACCGCCAGTCAGAGACTGTCGTTGGTGTTTACGTTGAAGCTGACATTCAGAGTGGTCGTGACATACAGTGTCGATGGACTAGTTAGAAGTTAACAGGGTTTCATCATTGTGATCTAACCTCAACAATTCGACATCTAACCACTGACAACAGATGATGCATATGCATTGTCATTATGGATCTGGTATTCTCTGTTTTATTGTAGTTCGAACATTAATCTCTTTTGGGTGTGTTTCCTGAAAAGATATAATTATAACTCTAGGTTTAGTAAATTCTGTTTTAATGGCTTCAACGATACAAAAACTAATACAAGCATGTGTTTGCATCAAACTGAATAGACACTTTATTGGCAAGAATGACGAACGGTGGACATAATGTAAGCAATCACTTCATCTAGTTTTTCCTTTTACTCTGAGTACAACTGTTTTGTTAGAGGGAAGCTCGACTTTATAAATATTTTTTTCCCTTTTCTAAAATATATCCTACCTCTTCCTTACACATTAATCAGGAAAATGTAATACCATGGGTTAATGGATAAATTATAATTAATTTTCGGTATTCTCATACATCTTCAACTGTGAGTGATGTTGTTTGTGTGACTACCAAATATTCAGTATCGACTGCTGGGCTTGGTTGCCATCTGAAATGAAACAAAGTTGCAACCAAATGAGTATGCAACTAGAAGATGCGATTATCAAACACACCCAGAACTTAATAACTGGTTTACATACTTAAGGGTTTATATCCCATGATACCATATCTTCAAATATATAATTCCAGTTGTGTTTCTGTATCAAAACACATTTATACATAAAGCCGGGGTCATGGGAACATATATTCAGGGATAATGACGCCACGTGTATTGTTGTTAACATGATCTGGATCCTGGCACGCCAAAGGGACATAATCAAATTAATTGCGGCGATGTATACAACTGGTCCATTGTCAGGGGTCATTTCCAAATCGAGATATACAGAACTTGAAATCAGGAAATAGACACACAATATCAATGAATAATTAACAAATTATATTGACGCACACAATTTTAAGTTTCCAATCATAAATGGCAGAGCAATTGGTCAAATAAGGGGCAGTAGCAATTAGTAACAAAACGTATGATAAATGGCAATGCCCTCACGAATGTGCAGAATTTGTCACTAAATGTCTTTAAAAACACTCACGTGCGTCGTTCTTAAATCTGGAAACAGTAATGGTAGCTGGCAGGAAGTTGGAGTTCTCAGAAAGGTAGCCCGTCTGAACAAGCGCAACAGACGCAGGGGTGGTTGTAGAAGACCTCGAATCGCCCGCGTCTCACTCTTTTATAGGCAGAGCCGGCCTTCTGGAAACTGTCATATCACGAAGCCAATCGAACGACATAGTATGTTCTGTTTCTTTACTGCTACAATTTAGTGATCATATGGTTTACGGTTTTTGTAACACTTTATTTTAGCGCACTTTATCAAATAAAAATCACATTGTCTTTACGAATTAATGAATTACTCAGTACATTTTAAGCATAGGTTCACCCTGATATTTCACAGCTGATTGGTAGATACAGATATAAAATTGTTTCTGGGTAACAGCATCATAAGAATTCCTACTGTGAGTACAAGCAAGCTTCCGAGTGCCTGTTGCAGTCCATGCTATTATTCCAGTCCATGCAGTTCCACTGTCTGGGGAATCGGCAGCATCTGAACGGATATAAACACATGTTTAAAAACAAGTAGCCACATGGCGATTCCTGTTCGTACTTATGCAATTTCACTTTCCTATAGTACTAATATTGTTCACGCCTGAATGAATTTATTTGTAATGAAAATGTATCAGTATTGATATGACAAAATCCACATGTTTATGAATTCATTATGGCAGTGTGGCTCGTGTCAAGAGGGATCATTTTCATCTGATATCTAGACGTCAGTCTTTCATGTTTTGTCATTCTTCAGTGAAACTGTTTTGTTGCTTTTGTTTAGCTATACACGGGAAAAAAGGATATTCTACCCCCCTTAAACGTTCCCATACGAAACGTAAATATGAAATGGAATAAGAAACAACTTGGTTTTAGTATCACAGATCAATATCCATAGTGTTTCTCTTCTATGTTGCAAGTAGACACATATAGATAATAACAAAACTAGTAATTTCAAAAGCGAGATAATTAGGTTGCCTTGATCCTACTTTAGTCACAAGTATACCTAGCAGCCTATATGACCAACATGACTATAGGCTGTATTTGTGGTATAGTTGCTGTGGTATAATTTGGTGATTATATTCTCGGGTCAAACATATCACTTCCACAACCATAACCCTGTCTGTATTCGGTATGTTGTGCAGATCTTGAAGTAAACTGGACATGCTCAACCAGGAACGTCTGCATGTGTTCTCCATGTCCAAGGTTGCCATGATAAACATTATGTTCGCATTGTCGAGAGCGGTAAACCGATGGTGTCTCAGCAGAACCTAGCAATCAAATGTACATCAATCAGATTAAACCATATGCTTGACATCATGAAAAAACATATATAAATAGCATACATTCAAATAAAATCAAGCAAATATGTAATCAAGCAATGAATGCAACGAACTACTCAATTAAGTTAGAAAGCAACACAGTAGATACTCAACCAACCAACCGACCATTGAACAATAAAGTAGGAAACAAAATGAGGAATGAATGATTAATGTATGACAATGAGTCAATGTGTCTGAAAAACTTAAACAAAGAAACTACAACTATTACAACTAAAAAACATAATGATTCTGATTGGTGTACACTTACAATTTCAAGTGAAATCTGTTATTTTCATTGGAAAAATGAATATCATCAAACATATGAGTAGTATGCTAAAACCTTTGAAAAATAATAACAAGACAAATTGCAAATATGTAAGTATTGACTTAGTAAAATGCTGAGGTGTGAAAATTTTCTCGCACTCACCTTCAGACACGATCCTGACTGTAACACCTACTAAAACATTGTCACCAGTGACTGTATACTTACACTGAACATCAACACTGACTGTAACACTGTCACCAGTGTAGACTATATACTTACACTGAACATCAACACTGACTGTAGCACTGTCACTAGTGTAATTTATATACTTACACTGAACATCAACATTGACTGTAGCATTATCACCAGTGTAAACTGCATAAAGTTCATGTATACGTGGATTTGTAGAGTATTTTGGGCAACACCGCCCTCTGAGCATAACACTTTAATCAACCGATAGTATTTATCAATCAAGTCTTCTATTATCAAGCCAAAACTGAGAAATGAAGGCTTCATTTAGTCAGGAAAGATAAGTAAAAACATACAGGTACTCAAACTGCAAACGCAAGATTGTGTTATTATGGATATGGTGTTAATCTACTGGGTTTTTAAAGTAATTTAAGTGTATCTGTTCGTAGTTTACTCAAGATTATTTTATGCATATTGCATTTGCATATTGGAGAAATTCAGTTTATCTGGAGCACTGGGAGGACATGGTTGTGTACAACTGGTATTGGTGTTTCAGATCCAAGACATTTTGACAGACTTCTTAAACATGATTATTTTCTATTAAAATAGTCCTATTCTGTTGAAATCCTAAGGTTTTGAGATCATTCATTCATTATGTGTGAGAAAAAAATAGTTTGATGATAATCTTGCTGTGACATAATAAAAAATCGAAGTGATTGCCTATGATGTTTGAAGTATGGATAAGCAATACCAAGTTCTTAGAATGAGGCACACACTACAAACACTGTCTTACCTGAGATACAGGTTACATCTGTGGAGTTCGGTGTTACACACTCTGATCCCTGCCCAGTCACAGAACACTGGAAAGTCTGAGTGTGTGCATCACTTAGTGTCTTGCTTAAGCCACTTGCTGAAGAAGCCGAGTCAAGGTCAACAGTGCCATTCTGAAACATAGGACAAACAATCAGTAACGTAAAGAAGTTGAGGTAATCATAACACTGCTAACAGATGAGAGAAAGATGCAAGAGGAAGAATATCATTTCATGGGCGATGACACAAACACACACTATAATGTTGAACCAATGCCTTACATCTTCTCTCACACTTACAAAAGGCTACGAAATATATGCCGTAAGCAGGTGTGGGTAGGTAGATAAGCAAATGTTAAATGGCTCTCAGAAGGTGACAGGGTGTGTTACCTGAAGGAATTATTCAAATGTTGGTGACATTATTGTTCTTTCAGGAACATATTTTCTGGTAAATGAACAGTATTGATATACATACCAGAGAGCTTGTTATAGGCTGATGATGATCTCTTACTCAGAAAATCTGCCCCGACAATGGAATGTTTGCCTTGCTAAAAGTAGTGCTCAATTCCCTGCCATATTTAGTTGCTGAAAAATAAGAACTTATAATTCCGGTGCCATTCTGTAAAGTTGAAGAATATGCCAGTTCATTCAAAAAATAATTCACGCGTTTATCACAAATTTGTATTGATATTGCTTGATGAAAACCCATTTCGCAAACAAGATACTCGTTGCAAGTAGGATTACCTAACCACTAAAGTGAATTGTATAGGCCCACCATTTCCATTGTCGTTGCTTTTTGCAATACATAGTGCTTATAAAGTATAGACATTGACCTTCAAAGTCAATCAAAAAGCCATGATAAATATGCGCTCAGGAAGGGGTAGTTGAGTATGTAAACTCCGACAGGTACAGTAATTTAACAAGTGTCAAAACAACATTATTTGATTTTTCAAAACAATGTGTCCAATAGTTTGAGGAAAATACTGTTGACTAAAACATTCTGCTGCAGTGATTATGATGAGTTTTCTTTTCAATACTAGGAGCGTGTGGCTCAAACCATGTAGAGTTGCTAATGGTAGACTGAAAAAAGGGCATAAAACAGTCAATGACAAGGTGACATATTTATTTACAAAACAATCACAGGGGTTTGAACAAAGTGTGATTTTATCAAACGAAGGAACATTCATGTAGAATTTGCAAAAGGTCCAGAACGCTGTTGTCCTGTTATCAAAGGATTGACATGTAACGCCACTTCTGAGATATTTTCTCTGGCTTCCCATTCAAAATAGCGTAAACTTTAAAGTTCTCTGCATTCCCTGGTACCAGTGTGAACATGGCACAGATCCAGCATACACCTACAGGTTACAAACCTGTTATTACCGATTAAAAACTGCAATCCTTTGGATACAGATAATTTCCCCAAGTAACAAAATTGACTAAAATTCCATTCTATTAATCACAAATCTGTCTTTAAAAAAAACAACCCCATTAAATGTAAACTAAAAGATACCTGTTCTGACTCACTGATGTCCTCATTGTACACACAGACGAGGATTTTTTTATATTGTCTCGAAAACAAAAGTATTACCACCAAAGTAACGTAAAAGCTTCACTAAACATGGTGTGTATTAATTCCATCAAATCAGTTGTGAACCAGCAACTATATATTATCAGATTACTTCAACTCACTCTTGAAATGAACCTTAGTTGTAAGAGATATATCATATCAATACGTGTATCATGAATGCCATAGTTTGATCCATTATTAGCTATAGCTGTTTTTATTTGCCTATTGTAAGTAAATGTTTTGTGTTGGCTATCCAAATAAGTATTGCAACTTAAATAACAAGATGTTTGAATAGTTTATCTCTGGTACAATACAAGCTTCAAATGTATTTTCGTCTGGTCGTTGCATTAAAAGTAGCTTCAGTTTTCTTACAAAATAAAGGATGCTAGGGGCAAGATATGAGCAATTTCAAAGTTGTAGTTTTGGGATCAGTAGTGCGTATACCGTCACATTCATTTACTTGACGAGGCATACTGTGCATGAATCTCCCACTGGCGATTTGAGGGAGTCTATCCAACTCCTATAGCAGCACCTGACCAAGTTCTGAAAAGGCCTGGGTTCATTTCTGGCCATGGCATGCTATTGATGTTGTGCTGATGGAGGTGAGCATTGACGATTTGTGTCTGGTGACCGACACGCCTCGCAAATGGGTGTCAGTATTTCGTCTCGAAAATACTGTCTAGTGACTCTTGTTTGCAATGACGTCACCTGGACAATCTACACCAAATGAACTGCCAAATCTGAAGGAGGTCTCAGGTTGACGTTCATTTCAACGTCGCAAGACACGACCAAGCCTATCAAGGAAGTGCACAGTAAATCGGGACTCATCTGAAATATTCACACATGACCAGCGGCGATAACCCCAGTTTCGACGTTTTGTACACCATTGACGTCTGTTGTCAATATGGCGATTTGCAAGGGATGGCACAAGACGTAGACGTCCAGCATGGAGAAGGGCCGCAAGTCGTCTGATGTGTAACTTGTACTCCAGTAGCCTGATGAGAGTTTTCAGCAATTTAATTCACAGTTGGTATTGAAGAGCCTGTAATCCTATTGTTGCCCGTTGATGCCCTGAACGGACTGGATCTTCAACATTTTGGGTTTGTTGGTACCTGTTCCATTTTCTGCTAATCACAGACTGTGAAACATTGAAAGTAATGGCCGCTGCATGATAACTTCTGCCAGTTTCCAGCATACCAATAGCTTGTAGAAGCTTTGCGCGTTACAAACGCTGAATCACTAGTTGAGACATAATGAAAGAAATGAAATAAATCTCAATTTATGGTCAGCAGAATCAAGTCAAGTCAAAGATATTTATTGCATGTCAGGCCTCCGGCCCATATACAAGATAGTTACAAATCAGTAGTTTACATATTTGGATATATACTCATGTTTAACAATTTGTTTCTGGGGAAATTGCATTTTGAACATATATAGCCAGTTTTAATATGACAGCATCATCTTTTGAAGAAAGAAGAGAAATAAAAGCAGGTACAGGATAATTTGACAGATAGCGTTCTGGTATAAACTTTCTTCTTAGGTCATAATAATAAGGACAGACAAAAGTAAAATGAATTTCATTTTCTATAGCTGAATGACATAATGGGTACAGCCTCTTCGACTTTTCAGTGGACATTTTCCTTCCTTCATTTATCATGAGATCTAACAATCCGAGCCTAATTTGAATAAATGGACGTCGAAGAGTTCTTGATGGTAATGTTGCTAAGCATTTTTCTGGTTGAATAAGACTCTTAAACGTTCTGTACAAGTCATACCTTGAACTGTTTTCTAGAGTGGAATGCCATTCCTGATAAAACATATGTGTAGATTGTTCACGAAATTGTTTCAAAAAGAGTTTAACATCACCAACTGTTTAACCATACAAAGCCGTAGCCATGAGAAAACAAAATGTTTTTAATATGTGATGACCATGTCACTTTGCCCATGTCCTCTAAATGTACAAGCATATTATAAGCAAGTTTCAATAGGATTGCCATTCCTAATGGTGCACAGATATTAATCGACCTTCCTTAAAAGTGTCAAAATCCTTCGCAAATGTATGATGCTACTACCGGATGTGTTTTTGTTTTTTTACAAACATACACGTTCTTCCACAGGGTATTTGTCGTCAGCACTTATCTTTGTTTTAATATGATATCTTAACATTTCATGATCCCCGACTTTTTTTAAGAGTACATAATGAACAGCAGGGTGGTACTTCTTCGTCCTACATTTCCTATAGCCAGTTTCCAGTTTTAATCATTTAAAAATGTTTTACGAATGTGCGGATGTGCTGAAAACTGGGACATAATTTCATCAAGTATATGTTTCAGTGTGCACGAGAACAACTAACTAGGGTCAAGAATATCCATGAAAACGTCTGATTTCAAATGGACTGTAATGGTCAATTGGCCTTAGAAAAAGTCTGTCTTGTTCAAGGTGGACAGCTAGTGGGTTTGTAAGTACTGTGCGAAAATGGTCACTTCCGCAAAGGTCAAGTACTTTTTCACATTATAAATATACTGAACCGCAAAAGAAACGTCACCCCAAATAACATTGCATGAAAAGTTGTCATTTAAATATCTGAGGAATTATTGTCAAAGTTTCTCAAATCTGATATAACCTTGTCCGTAAAAATGAAATTTCATTATAAAAAAACCCAAAACAGATGACAATAAAACCGATCGCCAAAACGCATCACGGCAACGGCCATGGTAACCTGGTGCACATGAGTTTCGTGCAAATTGAAATGCACATGCGTTCCCCAACTTCTTGCCCTATAAAGATCAACCAAATCGGATAATATTCATTCGTTACTGAATTGCTACCACATGCCCTTGGACGATTGCAAGCTCGACAAACCGCCCGGCAAGTAGCCAATGCATTTCAAGACCACGTAAGGACCATATACAGGCTCAAGCAATGTTACCAGACCACCAACACTACAGATGGCCGACTTTGTATTGGAAGAGCAAGGGTCACAACTCGACGTCAGGATCATCAGATTGTGCAACAGTATCTTCAAGATCGCTTTGTTACTGCTGGGAAACTGTTCGACAGACCATGGGGACACACCAGCGACACACTAGTGCGGACACTGTGCGTCAACGATTGACGAGCAGACAGCTCCACTGTCAAAGGTCACACTGAGGACCCATTCTGCCACCACGTCATCACCAGGACGGTCTTAACTGGGCAACACAGCACCAGCATTAGCGCCACCAGCAGTGGAGATTTTGAAGAGTCCTCTTCTCAGACGAAAGCCGTTACTGTATCTCAACAGCAGATTGCAGAGAGAGAGTTAGGCGACGCAAGAGACTTCCCCCAGCAGAATGGCATCAGAACCATGCAGTGGCCTGCCCTCAGTCCCAATTCAAATCTCATTGAGCACTTTGATTCAAAGAAGGCTGAACGACGTCCGACCAAGGCTGATAACTGCAGCTGAACTGCATCAGGCGTTCCTCAGAGTGTGGGCTCAAGTGCTTATGGACTTTATCAACCGCCTCATCCATTCCATGTATCGACGTTGCATGGCAGTCATCAATGCACATGGCAGACACTTGAGATACTGACTTGTGATGCTCTTTTCTCAGAGACTAGTGTTTTGTTTCACTTTGAGAACATTTGACACTTTCATTTTATTCTTGATGATCAGTTTTGCCAAGTTTCCTCTTTTTAATATGTCTCAAAGTATGTTTACAGTGTTTGGACAAATAAGGTTTCTCATATATCTATCCATGGTGACGTTTCTTTTGCGGTTCAGTATAATTATGTGCTGGAGCCATAATTGAATGTGCAATTAGGTTCATCATAAATAAATTCGTCAATAGTTTTATTGTTAGTATCAGTACCCCATCGTGGTTTATGCCCACTGAGATCACCAATGATGATACAGGGCCTAGGGGAGTGATTTACAAAGTAAGTCGGACACCTACACCTAGACTGCATGTCTCTACAATGAATTTAATGAATTTAATTAGGATTAGAACTCATGGTGGTTCTACGTGAGCAGGACATACTACTTTGTTTGTGTATATAGAGTCACCTCCATTAACAGTGGTTCTATGGAGTTTTGAACCTCTACAGTTATAGTCTACATGAGGGTTGTTCTGGGTGGTTGTCTACAAGCTTGAACGTTTGATTGTCTTTGTGATGGTTTCAACATATACGTCAACAGTAAGTTGATCTACAACTGTTTCCGAGTTCTGTGAAGCAGATGTTGTCAAGTGTGACACTGTCAACAGCTGTTGTTTCAACAGGTTGTTCTGGTGTAGACCACGTCTTTAGCATCAACAACATTGGAGTCGATCGGGCACATACACATCCACTCTGAGATTGGAATAATTGTTTGGGTATAATACATAAATACTGTATTTGAAAAATTCTACCACCCTGTTTTACAGTGAAGCAATTGACATACGTAGCCTTTCTTCTGTAAGTTCAGTGACTATCCCACAATGAGCAATGAGACTACTTTGCTTGAGTCTTTTGTGCACTGAGACAGCAACATTGATGTTTGCAAACTGACGTCACAAATGTATTTATTGTTGTCTCCACAAAGAGACATAAGCATTCTAAACATTTCCGCGTTCAAACTGAAATGTCGGGGATATTACACCAGGCTTAACCTTGAGTGGCTCTTCCTTTGTATATTCAAATACTCTGTTACCATGGACATGTTTCTTGCTGTATCAATCTCTAAACGAATTGATCCAGAATTTGTATGAGACAATATATTTTAGACAAATCAACATGGACAAATTGATTAGTTATTTTGGCTGTAAAACTTACCTTTAACTGCAGTGTGACAGGTGGTGTCACATCTACTGAGCAGGTCACAGTGTAGACATTAGCAGCAGTCTCCACACATGATGCATTGATTGGTCCGTTTACAGCTGCAGTGAAGAAAAGACACAAGGTAAAGTTTTGCGATAATGAAGCTCATTTACTGACCATCATTTACCTCTAAGTGCTGCACTGTTTTCTATCTTATAATGTCCCCAACCACAAACTGGTCAACATGGATGGGCAGCATTCCATTCTGTATTGCTAACGTCTCTCTATCAGTCACGTTTAGCTGGTGCAGATCTTGAGGTGGATAGTGGTTCTCCCTGACACGCCTCGTTAAAAGATCTCATACGTGTCACATGGGTGCCATATCAGGGGAATATGCTGGCCATTCCATGTGAGTAACATTGTTTTGTCCCCGATGGTCAGTGACTGCGTGCACGATGAAGTCTAGCATTGTCATCATGGAAAACCGCCTGTGGGCATATTCGATGAAGACAAGGAATCAGCATTGGTCTCAGAATCTCATCCCTGGAGCGAGCAGCATTCAAATTCCCGTTGATGACGTACAGATTGGTTTTGTCATTAAATGAGAAGGCGGCCCACACCATGACACTACCACCATCAAAACGATTGTGCTCACGGACGTTGACGTCAGCAAAGCGTTCCCCACGCCGTCTGTAGACAAGAACACGACCGTCATTATGCTGCAGTGAAAACCGAGATTCGTCAGATAAAACAACTCCTGACCACTGTTGTCATGTCCACTGTTGGTGTTGCCGTGCCCATGCGTCTCTGGCTGCTCTATGTCGCGGAAGAAGATGCGGTCTTCCGGCTTGACGTTGGGGCCTGATGTTACTTTTCCTCATACGGTTTCTTGTTTGGTCACTGACATTTGTTCCTGCAGCAGCCCCAAGTTGCCTTCGAAGATGGTTTGCTGTGACTGTTCTCCTCCTCAATGCTTCAACAACAACGTACTTGTCTTCTCTTCCTGTTGTCACACGGGGGCGTCCTGAGGGCGTCTATCACGTTCTGTCTGTGTTTGTAGGGATCGCTGACGTAATCTGCAAATGACGGATGGACTAACACATGACATTCGAGCAGCTTCCCGCTGTGAAACATTCTCATTTAGCCACCCAATAGCTCTGGCTCGCTCTCCAATCGTTAGGTGTCGACGTTGTGGCATGTTGAACACAGTGATGCAGTTTCATAGCAACCTGCCTTATCAACCCAAATTTCGCACAAAATTTCCTTGTGGCTCGTGCTTCATGAGAATAAGCGAGCAAATGCACGATCTCCATTTTTATGTCAGCCGTGAGGAGGAGATTACAACAAAAAGTTCCATGAAAATGAGTGCTGGTCAAAATGAACGTTGACGAGTCCAGTATGTTTCAGATTCTTTGCTCTGGTCATGAAGTCACCTGAGTAAGGGTAGTCTTCAATATCAGTACGTTAGCCGCCGATCAGGAGGCCATTTACCAAATTCAAAAGGAATCAAATTAACAGTGCTACAAAATATCAGTGTACCCTAAATTGTTCTGACGAGCATATGTATAGTTTGGAATGTGATTCAGTTTTAAGTGTGTAAATCTGAGTGTTGTAACAAGGTATGGCTGTGTTTAAGTTGAAAATAAAAAAAAGTGGGATTTAACTTATTTTGGTGTAATAAGTGATGGGTTGTTCTGGGTTGAGGCAAGGCATGTTGTATGGTAGCCTACATTGTGCAGGATATATGTACGTTGAGGTATAACTACATGCCTATATGACTTATTCCCCTCCCTTTATAGTCCGTGTCAGTACGTTAGCCGCCGATCAGGAGGCCATTTACCAAATTTAAAAGGAATCAAATGAACAGTACAAAATGTCAGTGTTTCCTACATTATTTTGACGAGCATATAAATGCTTCAGGACACATTTAGGGGAAAGGCATGCCTGATAAACATATTACAGGTATTTTATCATTAAGCTACCAAGATGAAGTAGCGATCAGTGAAGCAAACTCCAAATTAGTGAAGTGCTGTCTGTAATCTTCAAATAACGCCAATGTCACCATAATAAAGTGAAATCTTCTAAATGACCGTCCACCAAATATGAATATAATCCATATAAAACACAGGTGATATTTCAATAACAATCACAACAGTATGTACTAACTGATTAAAAAGTTAAATATGCCAAACATTGTATTATATGTTTTTTTCTGGATACCACATCCTTGCCGCATATCACATTTTATAATTATACATGCAAAATGGCTGCGCAAAGGATACACGTGACATGTTCAATGTGACTGCCATGCTTTGATCAATCATGCAAAGATTTTGCTTCATAGATTTTGTAGTTTAGGAGCAAATGGCGAAAACGTTTTAGTAAACAACAGACCCAAAGTCAGACATCAGACTATGTGCTCACTTGACTTTCAATCGAAAATGCAGCAACACTAGAAAAATGGGGGAACATGAGGGCCAAACTTTGTAGCTTGGTTAAAAATACGTATCATGTGTTTTTCCACATGGTACATATTTGCTGCATATCAGCTTTCATAAACATATGTACATGAGTCAACTTATCACAAAGAGTTCAAATTCATTATTTCAACACGACGAATGAAATTCATTGAACTTATTCACCTTTAATAGAACTTTATTGTCAATATACACCCAATCCTTCACATTAGATCAATGTGTAGTTTTCTTTCTTTTGTCAAAAGGTACCTGTCCGAAACTTCAGTGCCCATACTGTTACTGAAGCCATTGACATCCAGCATTATTTGACACTGTTGTAAGTGTGCAACATTGGTCTAACACTTTTCTGGGGAACACAATTTCTCAAGGAGCACAAAATGATTATTCAAATGGCGGGGGATCTCATGGAATATGCATTGAATGTAGTTATAAATTAAACAGACGTCATAACCTGTCATTGTGATGTTAGCACCTCCAGACCGACACAATGCATCCCATTATAAACACGTTGGAACTGGCTGAACAGCGCAGAGTGCAGATGACATTTCATACTGCATTCGCTGAGTAAATATTCAGTGTTCTTGATATATGAGAACCAAATGATCGAAGTCTAAGAAAAGATATGCATCTCTGCAGAAAAAAAATATGTCATCCTTAGACCACTGAACGTGTAACTTGCCATCGCTTGTATCTACACAATATTCTCCAAAACCACTGTGTCTAGCATTACAGTAAACTATTTTTAATGTTCTGCAATCAAATCCCCAACTGATCTATATTTTAATCTGACATGCTCATACAACTGTTCAAGTTGGATGTGCCCAGTGTCCATACAAAGAGAATGCATCATAGGTTGTTTTAAAGACTTGTTTCATTGAAATGATTTGAACAATAATTGGAACCACATATTTCACACGTACAAGAATGTGTCTTACAGGTCAACACACTGATAGATACCTTTAAAAAACTTGACTATCTTCCTTTCCGGATTATACATAGCCATGACAAAAGAATCAGAATCTGTGGATGCTTAAACAAAACTATCAATCCAGGAAAATGACACTCGCATGGCCTTCAAAGCGCCATTTCCTCACAAGCTGACATGTCACACTAGTCAAAACATACAGCGCTGCTGAACTCTTAACCAAACGGTAAAACTAAACCAAGCAACCCGAAGGAAATCTGTTTGACATGAACAGTTACTTAAATGACTGTGAACTTGTCATTACTGGGACACTGCTGCTGTGGAGCTGCCCAGATCTGATGCTGACCTGGAGACACGTATACAGGGGCATTCACTTCTGAGTGGGAGAACTCTCAACAGTTGAAACAAACAGAGCAGCTGATTAGTGATTGTATGGGTAGGTTAAATGTCAGAAAGCAGGTAAAGCTAGCTAGTTGTACAGGCTGAAGGAATGTGGCCGACTTCCAAATTGATCTAATTCCGGGTAAGAGAAAAACTTTGATGTTATAGTAACAGTACGTGTCACATAATCGCGTTTTTTTACTTAATTACCTCTGTATTAAAAAGCTCTCTTACAATCTTTGTGTTTGTAAAACTATTTTCTCAAAGACCAGCCCTAAATGCCTGTAGTAAATATTACATGGAACTTTGACAAGTGTTCAAGCTTTTGGACCCTTTTCAGCAATTATATAAATTAATACAATTATATTAACGCCGCTTTTAACAGTATTCCAGTTATTTCGCGGCGTGTCAGCTTAATGTGGGAAGAAAGCCCGAAGGGATGTAGGTCTCAGACGTTTGCCACTTCGGTGAAACCCACGAGCACGGGTATGGTGCTGACAAAAACCTAGAAACATAATCGGAACGAACCAGGATTCGAACCCACCATCATAGATTTCTAGAGTGCCAAAATGACGCAAATCTGCAAGCTAATCGCAGCGGCTTAGACGACTGGGCCACCCGTGCCCCCTAATAGTGTTTGAATGTGTAATGAGTGATTCCTGACAATTCCTGTTTCAGAACGGCAGGGGCACGTAGTACAGACCACTTTAGGAAAGTATGATTGCATACAATGGGAAAAAGGTGTGCAGCATTATATGTAAAATAAAACGGGGACACAAGGGAGCATGAAGTCATGAGGCTTACAGGAAATGATCTGGCAGGTTTATGTAGAAGGCAAACATAGTCGTCTGTAAGATGTACCATCTGTTTCTCAGTCACTGTATCGGAGAGCTTAGACAATTCCTAATGTGAGACCAATTAGTAGCAGAACAGTACGCAACCTACACCATCCTACCTCACCTAACGCAACGTCGTCAGATTGGGGTTGAAATGTTATGGTATGGTATATGGTTTTATCATGGGCTGAAGACATCTCTTATTATTAACAGCAAATTGAATAATAAAAATGATTATCGAATATTTTTTTTCACCTTGAAAATTTCACCTACGGGAAATTGACACACGAAGAAATTGAAACCTTATTCTGTTGGTAACTTTTGGAGACATCTTTTTTGTCTTAACTCATTTTATCACATGGATGAGTCATTCTGTAAATAATGAGACTGTGTACATTACACTGCATTATTCGAGTCAACAAGGATATCTGTAGTTGGATGTTGGCAGTCTGAAAAACATTTACAGTGAATGCTGCAGGACATTTATCTTCTGACAACTGCTGGAAGTGCATGATCAAATTTTGCAAGAGCAGCGCACTTCTTTCAGTAGCTCTTCGGGAGCAGCAAAGAAAGGCAACATCTGCTGGCTTGTTTTGAGATGAAGATTTTTCAATTCTATGTTCTCTCTGCTCTAATATAGTTATGGACAATTGTGAAAGCGTCCACAGTTTGCCAGTTCTTGACCTTTCTTCTCTTCAATTATGTTGAAGGGTACTGTTACTGCAAGTTTCGAAAGGTGATTTGTCATGGCTCAGCAAACTCAGATGAAGGTCTTCAATCCTTCGCAGCATTTGTCTGTTGACCTTGCTTTCTGGCCACTTCTGTATCAACTGATGACTCTTCACATGGCTTTAACAAGATCACACACAAAACAGTATCTGTTAGGAGACAGGCATGCAAAGACTTTGTGTAGCGCTTCCCTTCCACCATCGTTGGAATAGATTTGTGTGCATACACAGTTCCCTGATGCTGATGAAAGTCTCAAAAACAAATGGCAACATGCATGTCCATTGTCAACCTTGATGTTATAAGCCTTGGCATACAAAGGTTCATCAAACCTCAACTGTCCACAACATTGTCCCATGTTATGTCTCTGTTGGCTACAAACAGCATATTGCTATATACAGCCTCAGTCGACTGTGGGCTGAGTTGGATAATTGGGTTGTATAGTACTGAGGAACACATAGCATTTTCCTGCCATAAGGATTTCGGTTGATGAGACTTTCCTTCTGGATATACTGTGTTCTTCAGGAGTCTTGCATTCAATAATCCCCATACCATGTGTTGTTTCATGACCACAGAGAGTATAGTAAATGAACTCAAAGGGCCACAAATTATAATTCGTTATAACCGCAGTATGTTATAACCATATGTAAGGCACATATACAGCAAATGGACAGGACCAAAAAATAGTTTGTTAAAGGAATGTTTGTAAAACGTAGTAAACTGCATCTTCATTGTTATCAAAGTTTTCCGCAATCCATTGACAAAATCCATCACTTTGTGGCTGGGGTACAGCATTGACTGTCTGACTAACAGCAGCAGCTTTTTTCAAAAGCTCAGACTTGATCACAATATATGCTGAGGCCAAATGCTGAAAGAACATTCAGAGGGATCTGTGAGCGAGTTGTCTGGGGAATGAAGAGACCAATGCTAAGAAAAAGAATGATGCTTGAAGGATTACAGGGATACAATCAGAAGTCTCTGTTTTGCAAGAGATGATCCACTCTGGGGCATCACAATAATACTCTGTATATCATGATGAAGAGGAGAGGTGGTATTTGCTCTTCTTGTTTAGCTGTGTTGACTTCATTAGGTGAGGGATAGTCATCGGTAACAAATTATTGGTGGCATCTTTCAAAAGAGATCAAACTTTCTTGACTTATTTGATTTCCTCCTTATCATCATCACTATCATAGGCATCACTGAGTATCATAGATGCATGCATTTGATTGAAATGTGCACATTTCGCCAATTTTAACCCTTTGTCCATAGGCATCAGTTAGGTGTCTTTTGAGATGAATGATCTGATGGTAAGTAAGAAGATAGCGTCTCTTGAAGCGAACAGTAAACTGGACCGATTCCTGACAACCATGTGTATGAACTGTGAAAACCTTATTGTTGACTTTGTCCAGGTTATGTATAATGCTTCGACAGCTCTGATATCAATTACATACAACATACGGGACCTAGCGTTCATTGCAACTCCATCAGTCCGCCCATTGCAGATATCCAAAAGAGATAAACCTTTCTTGTCTAGGCTTACTAGGTCTGGGTGTCTCTGAACTGCCTATAGTTCAATAGTTTTGCCACACATGATACAACAGGTCTCATGATAACAGTTTGAATCCAACACGTGATACTGTGATAAACTGCTGATCACTTTTGCACATCATTCTTTGTGGCTGTGTAATTTATTTTACAATGTTTAAGGACATATATTTCCTCGTTTGAATTGAAGAGTAAGTGACGATTGTCAACCTGTCAAAAACATATTTAATAAGTTATATTGAATAAGTTATGCATATGTCATTATGTATCTATACATTTTGATTTATTTAATTAATTATATTGATTGAAATACACGTCATTAACAACTTATGTACTATATCTATATAATTCATTACACATATCTACGTGTACTGATAAATAAATTAATGACACATGCAATATAATTTTCAAAATTCACATACAATATTAAAAAAAAATCAATAATCAAATACAAATTATTAACTATCCAGCAATGAAACAAATACTGTAAACGTTAATAGCAGGTTTATAATCACCAGACGGTCATGAACATAATATGAATTCTAATTAGTTTTCACAAAAGTAGTATCTCACCAGAACTGGATGGAAATGAAGGTTGCGAATGTTTGTGGTAATTGATTTTTTAGTTGGTAAAGTTTGACACGTTGCCTCAACATGTTGTGGAAATATACTCTTCAAAAAAAAAGAAACGCAAAGCCAGATTTGTGGGAGGTAGGAAAATACATTTATTCGGGGGACCGTACAAGGTATTGAACCAAAATGTTGTGGAGAGAACACTTTGTGATTGTTGTCATCTCAGTTATCGGTAGATAGTAAAAGTCCAAGGTGAAGGTCAGCTATAATGAATTACGCGTATATCCCCCATTGGAATCGATGGCAGCGTGACATCTCCTGCCCATAGAAGAGACGAGTATGCGAATCACATCCTGGGGAATGGTAGCCCACTCGGCCCGTTGCAACTGCTGCAACGTCTGAGTATGGGGTTGCGGTCGATGTAGCCATCTTTCCAATTCATCCCAGAAGTGGTCTATCGGGTTTAAATCAAACCCTGTCAGGGGAGAACATCAATGTTATTGTTGTGTAGATAGGCTCTTGAGATCAGTGCTGTATGTGAGCTTTGTCCTGGATATGGACCAAACCTGTCTTGCAATGATGGGAGATAGCCCATAGTGTTGAGCATGCAGTTGAAACCGATCTCATAGCCTTGTGATGGGGTTGGATGCTACATTGTAAACCCTGGCTACAGCTGATCCCACAGCCTGCAACGTCATATGACGTTGTTTCGTTGCACTTCTGTTAATTATTGGCATGTTGTTGGACTGTCATGTTCCAATTGCCGCGGATGCCAGGCAATCAAAAACACTTTAATACCGCTCATAGTGCTGCTGCACGTGCAATAAGTGCGGCTCATGACCCTTTAGTTTAGTTTCGAATTTACATGAAAAATGTTGAACTTGTAACAGTTAACGACGGACGGACAACCGAATGTGTCACGACTTTCACTCGCTGGAGTTCATGTCAGTTGTACATAAACGTTTAAAACTGACGGTTGGACGACATACAATGTGGAACGACAGAGGCTCAATTCACTTTCATTCAAATCAGCTAATGACCAAAGCAATAACAACAGTGTTCTTCAATTACTTACCTGGAAAGATGACATTTGCAAAACCGGATAAAGTGTTTCCAGGACTGTCAGTTACAGCGACTCGGTACACCCCTCCATCAGCTGCTGTCAGTGGACCCTGTTTTGCAATCTCTGCTGTGCTTCCAGTTCTACTGACTCTTCCAGCGTATGCAACATTTGGTGTGAATGTGCCGGCAACATATGTTGCAATAGTATTAAAAAATGAACCTGTTCCTTGTTTTGACCATTCTATAAAGAATGGATCCGGAGTTGCAGGTGTGTAAGTCCAGTCCAGGGTCAGTGGGTTACTCAGGCTGTTGCTGCATACACTGATGTTGAGTGGGACAGAAACACTCCAGCTGTACCCTGAAACATTGAAAATAAGAAAATCAAGAAGAGTAATTTTGATGACATTAAAATCAGTGGTGATGTCATCTTTAACTAAAACATATTCGTTGAATCAAACGCACTATGATATTAATATTTATACATCTAATTTTCACAACAACGCTTTGGAACTTGAACAATGTTTCTACTACAGACAAGCGCAGATGCACCCCTATATCCCTAATGATGAATGTTCCTTTATTCAGAATAATACAAAAGTTATAAGCACTTCAAAGAATAATGACTACTTAAAAAATGGGGAAAATGAGTTCTAATCCGGCACAACTTTCAAACAAAGGTCCTAGTCACTTAAAACATCAATAACAAAGTTATAAGCACTTCCACTTTACCAAAATCACTTCCGGTTTGGCAAAACTCATGTCTAATGCAAGCCATGTTTGAACAGAATGCCTGGTGCCACATGCTACCTTAGTAACAAAGGTGTAAACATTTCCTGTCCAAAATCACATCATCCTGTGAAACACATATATGGCAGAACTTAATATGCCTCTTATCACCTGAATAAAAAAAAAATATTTTGTATATACATACATATGGTTTAATGATGCGTATAGACAGTTAATACTTTTCTGCCCCACAGAAATTATCTTAGGGAAAATACCTTTTCTTTTAACCAGAAGTGTTGTGGCGGATTATTGTATATTATGACGAAGGATAATTCCACCATGGAACGGCCGAGTGATGACAAATGAGACAGACACTGTGTGAGCGTTATTTTCTTTTCAAACAAAGAAAGCATTGAGCATGCTTGAGAGACCAATAGTCGCATCGGACACCACAATTAAACCACATACCGAACGGGTCTGCAATATTGAGGTATTTGTATGCCCTAACATGATATGAATCCTGTAACTCAGTGCCCTTTAGTATATAGCAACAGTGCAAGTGTCCATTACGTACATTTCACCTGAAAATACATGGTCACGTTCTCTAAGTCTCACCTCACCAAACCTTAGATGTAACTGTAACAAACAATCCTCAAGACAATGCTATTTACTTGGGTCACTGATAAACAGAGAGTGTGTGCATGTTGTTTTATGCCAAAGTCAACACTATTCCAGCTGTATCACAGCAGCCTGTACGCAGTGGACAATTTCACACATTGTTGTCCCCGATTCTTATTTATGACGGCTCGTAGGACAAGCATGTTATACACAGAAGACTCATGGTGTATCTATAACTCATGCCCTTACATTTCAGGTAAATGTGGGTTTCAATAACTTATACACCTTTTCCCATTTTGATCCAATTGATGGAGGTACCTGAAAGGGGCTTGAAATATTCCTTTCCTGTCTCTCAGATGCAGCCTATTAATGTTACATGGCCTCACAATCAGAAAACCGTGAGTTTGTATCCTGTATTGAAATGTTTTAACAATGTCTATCTTAGATTTAATTCAATCCATTAATCTTCAGGAAACGAACATGTAAATAACTTTCACATAGCAATGAAATCAGTAGTTGTGTATAACTTACACGATGATATCCCTATTATATACTCTGCCTTCACACAAAAAAAGGGAGGGGCTGTCGGGTAGCCTAGTGGTTAAAGCGTTAGCTCGTCACGCCGAAGACCCGGGTTCGATTCCCGACATGGGTACAATGTGTGAAGCCCATTTCTGGTGTCCCCCGCCGTGATATTGCTGGAATATTGCTAAAAGCGGCGTAAAACCATACTCATTCACTCACTCACTCACAAAAAAGGAAAAAGAGATAACTGATTTTAGATGTCTGTTTCATATATCATATAAATAATCAGGAGATGGTAATCGATTGTTCAAGATTGGCACATATCATTTTCACTGAACCAGGTTCCCTATGACACACATGGAACTGTTGATTTTCAAGATGAAGGTCATCTGTTCTCAATATCTTGTATGGTCACAATTAGAATCGAAACTGACTGGCGTTATCCTCCCATGGAAACAATCAGATACCGAATTGTGGACTGGGGGATGTTCACCCACCCTGCCTTTAGCGCTTGTGCCAACTGTCGGAAGATCTGTGAATGTGTGGTTGTTGCTGACGTGCTCGCAGTTTCGTGCATAACGTTCCCCGCGACGCCTGTAAACACGACGTCTCCCATCCGCAATGCGAAGCATGAAACGTGAATCGTCACTAAACCAAGCTTGTCTCCATTGCAGTTGTGGCCATACTCTGTGACACATTTGACTTCACAGCCGACGATGCAGGTCCATCAAAATGACACCTCGAACTGGTCGTCTAGCGCGAATACCTTCAGCGCGTAAACGGTTGCTCACTTTCTTGGCGGATATCCTACGCAATCCTGGTATTGGTATTGTTATTGGTCGTGGTTGTTATTTCACCTATATGATGTAGACGTGTCAATCTCTTCTGTGCTCTAGTAGTCGACCAGATCCGGGAAGTCCCGTGTGTCTGATAACGTTTTCAGTCCTGTAATGTTCTTGGTGCTACTTGGAAAAACCTGGCTGCAGCTGAAGAGGATTCTGCTGTTTGCAGTCGGCCAATGACGTTTTTGCTTTGGGCTTCCGTCAGATTGGGCATGTTTTCGCTGTACCCCATGGGGGTTGGGGGTGGGGTTGTGGGTGTGTGGTGTGTGGGTGTGTGGTGTGGGGGTGTGGACAGTACTACCGTGGCAACATAAAGTGCCTATTGTTTTACACTTTGCTGGTCGATATGTTCTCTTCCGAAATGAAAATTCTGTGCCCACTGTAGTCGGGTTGTCACTGTACTTGCAGCAGGATAGTATCGCCACATTACAATTGCCAGCACCGAGTTCCGATCTTTCTCCTGCTGGGACACCATCGGTAGACGTCTACTTCACCGTCACCATCTTATTCTAGTTGTAAAAGGCGTTGCGCTTCAACATATGAGAGGTAGGATACCCCAAATGTCCATTGAACGGTTGATCAGGTGCATGTAACGTCGAATTAACAAATGCTCATTACTAATGGACACTTACCAACGTGCATTTTTATGAACGCACCCGAAGATCCGGGGTATAAGTAATAGGTCTTCAGCAACCCATGCTTGTCGTAAAAGGCGACTATGCTTGTCGTAAGAGGCCTAGGCAACTAACGGGATCGAGTGGTCAGACTCGCTGACTTGGTTGATGCATGTCATCGATCCCAAGTGCGTGGATCGATGCTCATGATATTAATCAATGGATTGTCTGGTCAAGTCTCGAATATTTACAGACCGCCGTCATATAGTTGGAATATTGCTAAGTGCGGCGTAAAACAACAAACCAACCAACCCAATTGCGTGGATCGATGGTCATGATATTAATCACTAGTAGTCAAGAAATCGCGGCACTGCTATGATGCGAACGTGCCCTGTCGATCACTTAGGGCTTGTCCATTCAATGTTAACGTTTTGATCAGGAACTTCCTGCCCATACATATATGCACTATACGACCCTAATATTAACTATCATAGCTACCTTTCCATATCTTAGATTTGAATAATTTATGTAAATTAAAATCATAAACAGAGAGACTATCAGCACTGTCGTTTTGTCTCTTTCGCCGAGCTAAATAGCTATGACACACAGTCGATAATAATATACAATACTTGAACAAATAACTTGCGGTAGTCTCACGCCAATAAATGTGAGGTTGGAAACAATAAATCTTCCTGGCCAGTCTGAGATATTTCTTTTTCAAATTGACTGTCTCATGTTATAATTGTTACGTGTATGTGACATGTGTGCATAATAAAAAAAACCGACGTCATTCGCACAAAGTTCAACATGGCTGAAAAAGGTCGAGAAGCGCGGTAACCACTTTACTGACCTCGTCATAGTTTGCAATCCGTAGCACTGTATAAACTATGAGTTACACGATATTAAAGCTGAGATGATTAGGATGGTTTTGACTGTGCGTACTCAGTGTTTGACATCTAAATTTACAGTTGAAAAAGGACATTTTCGCGGGACCATATATTGTCCCGTGGCACTAAGAGGGTGTGAAAAGTGTGGGACCATATATTGTCCCGTGGCACTAAGAGGGTGAGGAAAGTGAGGGACCATATATTGTCCCGTGGCACTAAGAGGGTAAGGAAAGTGATGGACCATACATGGTCCGTAGGCACTAAGAGGGTGTGAAAAGTGAGGGACCATATATGGTCCCATGACACTGAGAGGGTGTGAAAAGTGAAGCACCATATATGATTGTGCGTACTCAGTGTTTGACATCTAAATTTACAGTTGAAAAAGGACATTTTCGCGGGACCATATATTGTCCCGTGGCACTAAGAGCGCGTGAAAAGTAAAGCATCATATATTGTACCGTGACACTAAGAGGGTGTGAAAAGTGAGGAGCCATACATGGTCCGTAGGCACTAAGAGGGTGTGAAAAGTAAAGCACCATATATTGTCCCATGGCACTAAGAGGTTGTGAAAAGTGAGGGATTATATATGGTCCCGTGACACTAAGAGGGTGTGAAAAGTAAAGCACCATATTTGTCCCAGGGCACTAAGAGGGTGTGAAAAGTGAGGGACCATATATTGTCCCGTGGCACTAAGAGGATGTGAAAAGTGAGGGATTATATATTGTCCCGTGACACTAAGAGGGTGTGAAAAGTGAAGCACCATATATTGTCCCGTGGCACTAAGAGCGTGTGAAAAGTGAAGCACCATATATTGTCCCGTGGCACTAAGAGGGTGTTAAAAGTGAGGGATTATATATGGTCCCGTGACACTAAGAGGGTGTGAAAAGTGAAGCACCATATATAGCCTGGTAGCACTAAGAGGGTGTGAAAAGTGAAGCACCATATATAGCTCGGTGACACTAAGAGGGTGTGAAAAGTGAAGCACCATATATAGCTCGGTGACACTAAGAGGGTGTGAAAAGTGAAGCACCATATATAGCTCGGCGGCACTAAGAGGGTGTGAAAAGTGAAGCACCATATATAGCTCGGTGGCACTAAGAGGGTGTGAAAAGTGAAGCACCATGGTCCCGTGGCACCAAGAGGTTTAAATGTTGTAACAATCATTACCTGATCGAATATTACCATTTTCTTGCTTTGATATTTACTACATGTTGACTTTTCAATTGATCACATCGGTACTGTTAACTGATTTTGTATCAGCCATTTGCGTAGCATTCTTCGATTGTAGAAAGTTCTATTGTGACTATTTGGACTAACTAAGGATTTCACCTTATCGCTAGTTGTTTTCAAACTGCGGTAATGTAAACCAAAATGCGTTTGTTAAATGTCAATGAAAAGACTTGCCCAATGGAAGCTAAATTGTATTATTCACTACCCTAACATATGAAGAGAAATAGTGTCATTGTCAGGGGATCTATCTAATAATATACAATGAAACTTACAATATCGAAATAATCTGCAGCAAGATACATATATAAACTTGGTCAATTAAAGGGAGAACTATTTTGAAAATACACAGATTGCCGGTTAAAATTTTGAACACTTTTTTAACATCATGTATTTGTCATACATATATTTTTTTTAAAAAGAGGGAAACAGTGGGTTGCCATATATCCCAGATATGGCAATCCGAATTAACACAGCAGAATTCGGGGGGAAACACAACTTATGACATGATATGTCGGGTACTTCAAGAGACTGACTCGTGATAGCTACCACTGTTTACACCTGTTTTAAAATTAAGCGAATGACGACAGACACAGATGTAGGAGCGTTCATTGCAACAAGAGTGTGACATGAGTGAGTTTTGCAAAGCCAGAGAAATAAGAATTATGTCAGTTTTCGCATCGGAGGAACTGAAATGTAAATATACATTAACGTTGATGGTTGCCCTACACCATTTTTCGTCCAATGAAAAAAATACCAGTGAAAGGGAATTCTAAAAATCTAAAAAATACTGATTATGTATCGAATTAGACCTTAGTCTGTATCATCAACACAATCCGAAATCCGAAAACAATTTCCTTGTCGGGATATGTTTCCATACAACTATCATGTTAATGGTGCATATAAGTTCACAGCACCTTTTGTGTGTTTGATGCTGAAAAAGTTAACCAAATAGAAATCTTGCTGAGGCATATGCTACCAAATCAGTGTACGGAAATGTGTATGGCCGTTGGTTTAAGATCTATTTCTGCTGTGGCCAGCCAAGTCACTCACGCCAGCTGATGAGACTCTTCGGATAATGTCAGACAGCAGGGTTGAAGCCTGAGCCAATGCTCGTTTTAATTCCAGTACAATCCTAATAATTCATGCAGGCCAACAGCAGCCTCTCGTCTGGTGTAAATGTGAAGAGCCAGTGTTAAACAGTAGTGCAACGATATGATAAATAGGACAGTGTCATGTATTGTAGAATATATGAGAAGATGTTTTGTGTGTACTGTTTTCATTTTATGAATGTCAATGAGATGATCATGTTGTCCTGTTGAAGCATACTTAATGTGTTATATATTTTGACGTTTAAAAGGTGTTTGGCTATACTAAATGTAAGTTGGATGGCAGCTAGGCTAGGTCCTCGTAGACCCGGTGGTGTTACTCTGCTGTTGTAACAGTATACCTTGTCTGAATGGCCGTCAATATTACATTGGGCAGGTGTTGCATGTCTACCCCTAATTATAGTATAAATCGTTGTGTCTCACTGTCTAAGTATCAATCGGCTGAGTTAAGGTTTATACACAGACGTAACTCACCTTGACAATCTGAATCCTTCAACAGCACAGCGAAGAATATCCAAGATACTATATCCACCGGACGCATAGACGCCATGTCTGTATAGTGAGTATCCGCACCCTTCACTGATCTGACGAAAACATGTACTCTCCTCTTGTTCAGTTGATTGACTTACGTTTGTGGGAGCTCGCTGTTTAATTTTCAAGCAGGGTTGCATACAAAAACATAGATTGTATTGTATGATCGTTGTCAGCTCCTACAGTGTGTACTTTGTACGTTGATAACGCATGTTACACTCAGCGTTCACGCATGTGACAGGAGTACTCACTGGGTTGTGTGCAACATATAAGTCGCCACGTCTTAAGTAGTACTCGCATCTTGACTCAAAGCATGAGTCAGTCCAATTGGTGAAAGTCAAGACATGGTTCCAAGACATGATAATCCTCAGTTGGTAAATGTTCTCATAAATCAATATTTTTTATTCCCTTTAATCGATCTGGCTATATCTGTAAATCCAGTTTACTGCATAAATGCAGATGTTAGTTAAACAAACTTAAGCTTCAAATGTTACATATACGATTGAACAGTCACCATATCAATGGCATACTTCAAGCAGGAGTACGCCTGTTTGATTTCTGCACTCCAAGTACTACACACGTACACCACCCTTATCAAGTATGTGATTGGGATCTGGGCTGCAGTCGATCAGGATGGACTGCATTTTGTATGGTTTGAATTGAGATGTCAGTCGAAAGTGCGATACCTTAAACTGTCTGTTTTATCGTTGTAGCAGTGCCCTTCCGGGTCGTGTAGCATTTCAATTACACCGGCGACGACTTTTCTACTCATGAAGCCGGACGAGCAGGATGAAAGAATTGATGCAGTGATTGGGGAACACTGATGAAGAAAATATAAATATAATAAACTGTCCTGGAATTAACTACTAAATGAAGGTATCTGTGAACCAGTTTATTGGTAAACATTCCCAGGGATGACGGCTTTTCCAACTTCATAATATAGTTGCTGTGAGAGTTGAGTCTCATTTGTTAATTAAATGTGAGACTGAAGTTACATGGATCACAATGACGGCTGTTTCATTTGCCCTCTGTTGATTTTCCTGTTTAAGGCCTAATAGCAGAAGATCGATAACCTGCTGCTAAGGAATCAATCTTTCGTATGTATCA